ACTTTGTTTGTGCAAACGGGAGCAAATTTAATGTTGTTAAAAACGGCCAAAAAAAGGTCACATTTTGCCGCTCCGCTGCTCAAACAATGTTTCACTGATCAAAAATTCCTGAGGTCATTTTGAAGGTATATGTGTTGAGATGATGTGGAGCAATTTTGAGGCAAATCGGTGAAACGGCCGAGGAGGAGTCGCTTTCCAACCGACATGTATGAATACTTTTGCTGTTCATTTTTCCATTTTGCAGTGAAATTTATGGGCTTCCTGTTTGTCAGAGGGCGGGGCCATAATATATATTTTTTTCTTGTCTTGACTTGAGGAACATGTGTACCGAATTTCATGACTCTACAACAAACTTGATCCTCAGAACTCCCATAGGGGTATTATTTTGGCTGTTGTAGGTGGCGCTGTTCTGGCATGTTTTGAGTCCCATAAAAATAAACACCAAAATATCAAATTTTTCGCCAGGTCTGATTTTTGGGCAAAATTTAACAACTTTTCATGCATGTTCAGGGGGTCAAATTAAGGCTCAAAGTGCAGAAGAAAAAAGAAAGAAAGAAAGAAAGAAAGAAAGAAATAAATTAAAGCCGCAAGCGGCGTCGAACGGCCCTCGCCGCACCGCGCGACTCCCCGCACCGCGCGCCTCCCCGCCCACGCCCCCGCCCCACCCCCCGCACCACGCCCCCCGCACCACGCCCCCGCCCGCACCCGCCACGCCGCCCGCACCCCCAAGCCGCAACGCGCCGCTCCACAACGCCCCGCACTACGCCGCACCACACCGTACCACGCAGCACCGCTCAAAGGAGGTGGCGCCGCCGTGTGATGATTTGTTCCCGTAGCCATAGAAGATTGTTAGTCAAATTGTAATGAATATGATAAGTAGAGCTGGTTTGGCTCCCCATGTAAACTTTGACTCAGTCTGTAGGGGGCGCTAATGGGCCAATTTCAAATATTTCACTTTCACCTGACCTAAACCCTGGAGTTGAACAATGGATTCAAGTTTTTAATGCAAATCAGACTTTGTTTGTGCAAACGGGAAAAAAATTAATGTTGTCAAAAACGGCCAAAAAAACCCTCACATTTTGCCGCTCCGCTGCTCAAACAACGTTTCACTGATCAAAATTCCCTGAGGTCATTTTGAAGGTACATGTGTTGAGATAATTTGGAGCAATTTTCAGGCCAATCGGTGAAACGGCCGAGGAGGAGTCGCTTTCCAACCGACATGTATGAAAATGATTGGTTTTCATTTTTCCATTTTGCAATGAAATTTATGGGCTTCCTGTTTGTCAGAGGGCTTAGCCATAATAACATTTTTTCCATGTCTTGACTTGAGGAACATGTGTACCAAATTACATGGTTCTACGACAATTTTGACCTCGAACCCCTCCCATAGGCATTTTTAAATTGGCTGTTGTAGGTGGCGCTATAGAGCCAATTTCAAAATTTAACTTTCAAATGACCTAGACCCAAGAGTTGAACCATGGATTCAAGTTTTGTGCCAATCAGACTTTGTTTGTGCAAACGGAAGCAATTTTTCTATTGTCAAAAACTGAAAAAAAATACGCCACTTTTTGGCGCTCTGCTGCTCAAACAACGTTTCACTGATCAAAATTCCCTGAAGTCATTTTGATGGTACATGTGTTGAGATGATGTGGAGCGATTTTGAGGCGAATCGGTGAAACGGCCGAGGCTGGTTTGATGTTTGTGTGAGGTGTACATTTGCAATGAATGGGGAGCGTTTCTCGTCGCCACGGCAACAGGGTAAAAAATAAGCCTTGGACCCTATTGACTTTTTGAATCAAGAGGGCAAAACAGATTTATGTGCAAAATTTCAAACATTTTGAAAAAACTAAATTTGAAAATGCCCATCTAAAACTTTGAAATAGTCTGTAGGGGGCGCTAATGTGTCAATTTGAATTAATTCACTTTCAAATGACCTAGACCCTAGAGTTGAACAATGTATTAAAGTTTTGTGCAAATCAGACTTTGTTTGTGCAAACGGGAGCAAATTTAATGTTGTCAAAAACGGCCAAAAAAAGGTCACATTTTGCCGCTCCGCTGCTCAAACAATGTTTCACTGATCAAAAATCCCTGAGGTCATTTTGAAGGTACATGTGTTGAGATGATGTGGGCGATTTTGAGGCGAATCGGTGAAACGGCCGAGGAGGAGTCGCTTTCCAACCGACATGTATGAAAACTTTTGCTGTTCATTTTTCCATTTTGCAGTGAAATTTATGGGCTTCCTGTTTGTCAGAGGGCGGGGCCATAATAATATTTTTTTCTTGTCTTGACTTGAGGAACATGTGTACCAAATTTCATGTTTCTACGACAAACTTGACCTCCGAAAAGTCCCATAGGGGTATTATTTTGGCTGTTGTAGGTGGCGCTGTTCTGTCATTTTTTGAGTCCCATAAAAATAAACACCAAAATATCAAATTTTTCGCCAGGTCTGATTTTTGGGCCAAAATTAACAACTTTTCATGCATGTTCAGGGGGTCAAATTAAGGCTCAAAGTGCAGAAGAAAAAAAGAAAAAAAGAAAAAGAAAGAAATAAATAAATAAATAAAAAAGGAATTTTTTTTTTGACGTCTCGAGCAAAAACAATATAGGTTTCAATGGCACGTGATACATCATTTTAAAGCTTTTGAGTTTACGCACGCAACTGTCACGTTTTGGTGAGTGACGGGCGCTGACGCGTCCGTCACGCACCGCCACCATTTGTTTTCACCATTGTGAAAGCAATAGGCCCTTACCCCGTTCGGGGCTCGGGCCTAATAAAAAAGGAATTTTTTTTTTCGACGTCTCGAGCAAAAACAATATAGGTTTCAATGGCATGTGATACATCATTTTAAAGCTTTTGAGTTTACGCACGCAACCGTCACCGTTTTGGTGAGTGACGGGCGCTGACGCGTCCGTCACGCGCCACCTGACATTGTGAAAGCAATAGGCCCGTACCCCCGTCACGAGCAAAAACCGCCACCATTTGCTTTTTTTCACCAACTGTCACGTTTTGGTGAAAGCGCTGAATAGGCCACCATTTGTTTTCACCATTGTGAAAGCTTAGGCCCTTACCCCGTTCGGGGCTCGGGCCTAATAATCAAAAGGTTTTCAATGAATTTAATTTCTTTAAATCAGTACTCGGATTGAAAACAGATTTAAAAACATAGATTTCATCCGAGGAGAACTTTGGATGATTGAATATTAGTAAAATCTGGATATAATTGCATTTGTTTTTCTTCAAACCCGTTGTTATGACGATAGATTTAAGCGAAAACACGGAAATGCGTCTACAGTGGGGGCGGGGCTCTGTACAAAAACTTCCGGCTCATACTGGGCCGTGATTGGCTGTTGCAGCTCGAGAACGCTTCCTTCTACAGAAAAAGCAGCAGCAGCAGATTGTCGAAAGCACACGAGTGAGATGAGCCGAGAAAACGCTGTGTGGGTGTTATATCTATAATAACTCTGGTCTGTTTGGCGTCGATAACAGGCAACATGGAGTCCAAAGGTTTGGAAATAGACGAAGACACGTTCAGCTGCCCCGTCTGTCTGGATCTACTGAAGACTCCCGTCACTATTCCGTGCGGACACAGCTACTGCATGAGCTGTGTGGACACTCACTGGGATGGAGAGGAGGGTAAGAAGAGCTTCAGCTGCCCCCAGTGCAGACAGAGCTTCTGCCAGAGACCTCTGCTGGTGAAAAACACCATGTTGGCTGTTTTAATGGAGGGACTGATGAAGATTGAGGTTCCAGTGGCTGCTGTGGCCCCTGCGCCCTCTGCTGTGGTGGCCCCCTGCTCCCCTGCGCAGGGAGATGCCGTGTGCTGTGACCTGTGCTCTGGGGCCAAAATGAAAGCTGTTAAATCATGTCTCCAGTGTCAGGTCTCTTACTGTGAAGAGCATCTTCAGCCTCATTATCACGTGGCTGCTTTAAAGAAGCACAAACTGGTGGAGCCCATTGAGAACCTGCAGGACTGCATGTGTCCTCGACACAATGAGGACATGAAGATGTTCTGTCGCACGGATCAGCAGTGTATCTGTTACCTCTGCTCTTTGGAAGAACACAAAGGACACGACACAGTGACTGCTGCAGCAGAGAGAACTGAGAAGCACAGGGAGCTGGAGGCCTGCAGAGAAAACCTCCTCCTGAGCATTAAGAGCAGGGAGAGCACTGTGCTCTGCTTGAATAGTGACATTGACAAATTTTCGTCTTCTGCTAAAGCGGCTGTGGCTCACTGTGACCAAGCCATAATTGACTTGACACGTCTTATTCAAGACAAATTGGAATATGTGAAGACCGAGATTAAATGTCTACAAGAAGCTGAGGATTACAGCCTCAGGCAAGTTCAAGACAAACTGCAGCAGCAGATCACAGAGATGAAGACCAAATGCTCTGAACTCGACTCACTCTCACACACTGAAGACCATCTCCAGTTTCTACAAAAGTTTAAATCCATCTCTAAAGTCAGTGATTATTCAGAATCAGTCTACAGCAGCAGAACCCCTTCCTTTCACCAGATGGCTATAGCTGTTGTATCAAAAATGACCAAAAAACTGCAACCGCGGCAAGTGAAAAAAATTGATCCTTCTGCTAGAGCTCAAGAGACCGGATCAGCGGAGCAGCCAGTGGTCGCCCCTCCAACTGCGACTCCACAACCCCCCCAGCCTGTCCACATTTCCCAGTTTACCCAAACTATTGAACCTGTCCCACCCCCCCAGCCTGTCCACATTTCCCAGTTTACCCAAACTATTGAGCCTGTCCCACCCCCCCAGCCTGTCCAAGCTCCTGAGCCTGTACACATTTCCCAGTCTACCCAAACTCTTGAGCCTGTCTCACCCCCTCAGCCTCTCCCACCCCCCCAGCCTGTCCAAGCTCCTAAGCCTCTCCATCCTCCAAGCCTGTCCACAAGTCCCGGTCTACCCAAACTCTACAAAGACCCACGCCAGGACTGATACATATCATCTACACTGACAAACTGGCGGATCTTCTTGCATTCTCCCACGAAATGAACTTTGATGCTGACACCCACCACCCCAATCTGAAGCTGTCCAGTAACAACACCTCAGTCCAACACGTGTCCAAGGAGCTGAAGCACCCTCCTCACCCGTACCGGTTCGACGTCCTAGAGCAGGTGCTGAGCAAACAGAAACTGCTCGGCCGCTGTTTCTTCCAGGTGGAGGTGCAGTATAAAAAATCTTTCATAGTGGGAGTGTGCCAAGGGGTTGGAAATATGAAGTCCTCGTGTGGTGGGGAGGAGCAGCTTGGGGATGGTCCATGGTCGTTTGGGTTTGGGTTCGACAATGGGCAGTGCATCTTCTTGAACAACGCTGATCCCCGTAACCTACGCTGCCCTGACCCCCCCACCGGCTCCCCTGCCACCATGCGGGTCGGAATCTTTCTGGATCACAGGGCTGGGGTTTTGGTTTTTTACAGAATTCTCACTGATGATACGCTCGTCTATATTTGCGAAATACAGAACTTCTTCTGGGAGCCTCTGCTCGCGGGGGTCTTCTTGCCGGAAATCAACAGCACCGCTAAGTTTTTGTGAGAAATGCCTTTTCAATTTGACTGTTGGTCTGACGGAACCAGTTCAGTTTGTTCAAAGAATCACATATTTGTTGTGGTTTTTGTTATTGAAATGTGGTTTTAAAACGGGTTTGCTTTAAAAAATGTTTGAATGCTTTGTTATTTGCATTAATGATTATAAGAGTTTTGTGATTTGGTTTGGACAAATAAAGCACATTTTGAAAAGCAATTTTATTATTATTATTTACAAAACGGGTCATACACTTCATACGTACGCTAATTTCTATAATAACAAATAAACTAATTAAAGTTTGTAAAAGGGAACTCCCAGGAAGCCTCAATAGCTTATAGGAAGGGCCCCAAACTGTAAGCCTTAAAAAACCCAACAGATTTCACTACTAATAATATACTGCATATTTTCATATAGAATTTATTGTGTGGTTTGCAGCGGCATTTGAATGTATATTTCCAATGATGAATAGAAATATAATTTTGAAATTTACAAAATGCAATATTATTTCATCCAAGATTTCCTTTCTATGAGGTGTCCAACATACTAAAAGTCACAAAAAATTCTAAAAGTTTGAAATGTCTAAATCCTTTGCGGAGCTACTTGGAAGGGTGTGACAAGCTCATGAAGAGACCACTGCTTTAAACAATACAAAAACAGAGAAACGGGAACACCCCCACTGGATAAATTAATAGCCAAGATGCAATAAACAAACTGAACTGGCTCCTCTCTAAGAATAAAACATGACAGGGCATCACATTTGTGTTCCAGGCTGCGTGTGCGTCAGTAATCTGGATTTAATCTGATCATAATCATAACCTGCTTTATTCTAAGTGGACTTGACGACAGTGTGGACCACTTGGGACGTTGGAGAACAGACTCTGAACCTCAGTACTTCTGCAGGACTCAAATATGTCTTCTCAGGATGAGCAGGACTTACCCTCCAACTTCACTGGTGAGTGGACTGCTCCAGAGAATCACTGTTTATCTCTATTGTAGTTTATAACCAGAGCTAGTCAAGATTATATCCCTAAAGGCCTGGATTATATAAGAACACATCACTTAGAATATTCTACTCTATTGCATTTAGTACTTTATGTCCCTGCTCTGTGTGTGCAAACCAACAATGTAATGAACCAGAGCAGGCCGGAATACTATGGAAAGTTCCTGAGGGCAAGGCTGAGGGTCAAATGCTCCAGGCTGGATTATACCTCATGCTCCAGCACTTTTAGCACACATCTCAACAGTCTGGTTACGTTTTAATGAATAGTATTTCATATCTTCTCGAATTATTGCTAAAAATAAAGGAGAAAGCTAGTAAACGTTATTGCAATTCTCTCCTTTCTTCACTCTTCAGTACAATCATTCTTTGCCACCAGATGTCGCTGTTTTCTTTGATATATCTTTTCCAACACTTTGTCCGTACTTTATTTTATTTGACAACTTTTAACTTATCATCTTTACATTTAAACCCAAAAATCTGGGCTTTTTGCTAAAAAAATTCTTGAATTTTGTTGTATGTTCTTTATGTACAGCTAACCTATTTAGCTTAATGCTAACTTTCACAAAATAGCATTAAGCATTTAGTTTTGTTCATGTAATAATAACGTATGTAAATTTTTGGTCTTCATAACTTTTGTCTGTCTCTCTATGTAGTTTATTTCTATGTTATTATTTTTACATTTTCTTTTACTTGAACTTTACTTTTACTGGAAATGAGAGTTCTACCTTTACCTCCAGAGTAAAGCCAGTACTAGTTACCATAGCAACGTTATGTTTACCCGCTACCAGTTAGCATTTGGAAGCATTTCAACAGACTGCTTTTTGCTGTGACTTCAAGTTACATTCATCAGTTTTAGCACTTAGTAAATGTGAATGTGAATCTGTCAACAAATTTAACATTTTGGGGACATTTTTCAGATTTCCATTGGTTTGAATGAGAGTAGTCAAAATTACAACTCTGGGATAACAGTGTACACATTGAAATTAATCAGAAAAGCATTCATGACACCAAGCAAATAGTCTTTAAATTGGACATAAAAATAGATTTGATTCATGTGTTTTCATGTTTTTTTTTTTCAGGTTTGAGCCTTATGCTGCTAATGTACAGATGTAAACATACTGCTGCTAACATGTACAGATGCTATCATATAACTACACATTGCTTGCACTAGAATACACAGTTCTTTATACTGCTTCTTTTTGCCAAATGTAAAACTTTTACACATTATTTTGTATTATTATTATTGTCAATATTTAGTTTTTATACTTGTTATTGATGCTAGAGTTTTGAGAGTTTGTTTTATTTTAATTAGAATAGCTATTGTTCACTTATCTTGTGCCGTGTGCTCCTCTTTCTTTAACACTGTTCTATAACTTGTGATGCAACACTGAAATTTCCCCACTGTGGGATGAATAAAGGATCTCTTAATCTTAATTCTAATCTGTGTGTGGGTGTTTGTTTATGACTGTGGACCATCATAACGCCCATAACTTCACCCTCAGGTCCCAAAGGGGTCATCACAGACTGGCGCAGGTTTAAGTTGGACAGCGTGGACCAAACTGTCCCACAAAAGAAACGAGAACTCCTGCGACAGATGTCCACGCCACGAGACGACGACAAGGACCGAGCCAACAGGAAGGTCTGCAGATGTGTAACTGTCATGTAGAATTAGTATTTCTTATTCTCTTTTTACTTTCATACCTTATTTGCACCAAGAGCCAAAGCAATATCCTAGTTTGTGACTTGCTGTTACTCACAATAGCAATACAAATAATTCTACTGTACAAATTATATTCCAGTTCAAGAGAAGATTATCTTTATTGATCTCACAATGGAGAAATTTGTATGTCACAGGATCATTCAGGGTGTGCAGAAAAGACTCGGAAATTGAAAATACAGTATGTTAAAAAGTGAAAAGATAGTATATGTTGTGCAATAAAGGTATAACAAAGGTATTTTATGAACAATTAAAACAAAAATTGCAAGTTTACAGCCCTAGATGTTGACTGATGCTATCCTTGATGTTGTTCCATTTGATTTCCTCTATAACAAACCCTGTATAATAATAATAATGATAGTAAAATAACCTTGTGTGTGGCAGATGAGCGTGCAGGAGTACGAGATGCTGCAGGAGGAGGACGAGCAGAGCCTGAAGCAGTACAGGAGGCAGTGCATGCAGGAGATGCACGAGCGCCTCAGCTTCGGACCCAAGTTTGAGACGGTGCACGAGCTGGACAGCGGAGACGCCTTCCTGGAGGTCATCGAGAAGGAGCACCGGCTCACTGTGGTGGTGGTGCACATCTACCAGCAGGGCATCAAAGGTCTGCACTGGACAGGACTTCACTTCAGTCTGATTCAATTCAACGTATTCTTGTAGTAGTTATCTCAGAGGACTTTACTAAACAGTCGAATTCACCAACACAGATCAGAGAATGCAGAAACCAGAAATGCAATTATAAAAAAAAAAAATGCAGAATATTATATAAAGTAATAGTTACTTGAGTTGAGTGGTTTTTATCTTGAATTGAGCACATTCTGACTGCCTTAAAACAACATTTTCCAATGGGACAAAGCCGTTTAGTCTTATTTCAAGTTGCATGTTTTTTTCTCATTCTAAGGGAGACATTTCTTGTATCTTTTTAAACTGCAAAACATGATAAAATATGAGGTGATAATTGATTGAATTGAGTGGTTTCATAATTTTAGTACATTCTGACTGTCTTAACCAAATTTTCCAATGGGACAAAGCCATTTAGTCTCATTTCTAGAACTGTTGCTTTATTTTCTCTATCCAAGGAAGACTTTTTTTTTTTTTAAAGATAAGATATGATTCTTGCATCTTTTCAAAACAATACAAATGTTCTTGTCCCATTGGCAAATCTTGTTTTGAGGCAGTCAAAAAGTGCTCAAATTATTATACATTTTTCCAAATCCTAGCCATTTTTCACTTATTTTTCATCACTTTTTGCAGTGTAGAGCCCATAGTAGAGCTATTGGCAGATCACCTATGTCCATAAATGTCCATAAATGTCCATAAATTTAGAATGTCCTGGATCATCACCACTGTCCGAAGACTTTCCTGAATCTGCAAGGAAAAAAACATAGATATATATTGATATTTTCATTCTCTTATGAAGCATTTGCAGTTGCTTATCTCTGTATATGTCGTGAGCTGCTTCTGTGCTCTCACTACTGTCTTGTATGTGCGCTGCCACATCCACATTTCATGCATAAATGTTCTCTTATCTCTTTTCTCTTGTTCTTCTTTCAGAGTGTGAGCAGATGAACTCGTGTCTGGACTGTCTGGCAGCGGAATATCCCAACGTGAAGTTCTGTCGCATTGACGCCGTGGCCACAGGAGCCGCCGAACGCTTCTCCACCGACGTCAGTGCAGAAAGAGTCGTTTAGTTCATCAAACACAATCATTTTCTGTGTGAGAAATTTGGTCAAATGAGATAAACCTTTATTCGTCCATCAGTGATTTAAAGAAAGTAACTGACATTTACTTGAAAATTTGTTTATTTAGGTCATTTAAGTAAATTCAGTTAATTGCGAAAAGAGAGATTTTTTTCCCAAAACACTTCCACTGCTTCATGATTGGACAGAATACTAACAATAAATGTATACATACGAGCAAAATGCATGTTAGTAAGTTAGGAACATTGCATAAAGTGATGAAAAATAAGTCAAAAATTGCTCAAATTTGACAAAAATGTATAATAATTTGAGCACATTCTGACCGATCCTTAAAACAACATTTGCCAATGGGACAAAACAAAAATATCTTGTTTTGAAAAGATACAAGAAATGTCTCTGTTGGAATGAGAATATACCGTGTCAGTTCTTGAATTAACACTAAAAGTCTACTTGTCCCATTGGAAAATCAGGATGTACAAAAATTATGATAAAAACCACTTAATTCAAGCAATTATCACCTCATATTTTATCATGTTTTGCAGTGTACTACAGCTTTCATTTCTCCATTTCACAGAGTTGCAGTTGATAACGGTGGTCTGTGTCTCAGGTGCTCCCGGCTCTGTTGGTGTACAAGGCGGGCGAGCTGCTGGGGAACTTTGTGGCGGTCAGTAAATACTTCACTGAGGAGTTTTTCGCGACAGACGTGGAGTCCTTTCTCAACGAGTACGGCCTGCTCCCTGAGAAGGAGGTCACTGCCTGCATGGAGGAGCAGGAGGACGACCAGGTGGAGTAGGAAAACCAGAGAGTCCTGAACCACATGCCGTTTTATATGTGTTTTATTGCATTATTTACAAATGTTTAGCAGCAAATCCCTACAGAAATGTGATTTAAAAAGAAAACAGAACTGATGCTGTCCTGGTGTGGTGATAGGGGTGTAACGATCACTTGGATATTGGATGTAGCTAGTAAGTAAGTAAGTATAAGTAAGTAAATGTATTTGTATACTGCCTTTCACAGATCAGAATCAAAAAGAGCTTCACGATTAAAAACGTACAGATAAAAACAACACACGCACAAGTCAGTTCCAAAAACAAAAATACAGAAAAAGCATCATGAACACAGCTGTATGTAATCTTTCTATGAGAATTATACTGTGGAACATTGTGTGTCAAATAATATGTGTTTAATTCTACACGGTGAAAGATGAAAGCCAAAGGAACAACAGGAGCAGTGTTTTCAGATACATGAAACAATGTGATCGTGCTCTCATTTGTTTTTTGACTAAACTATTATGTACATTATATTTGTTTCATTTGTGATTATGTTGTTTGCAGAAAGTCTTTGCTAATAGTAAAATAAATACAAAAATAGTAACATTCAATCTGCTGTTGAGTTTTGATTTTAGGCTAGTCATTATTTGTTATAAAAAATGCTCTTATGCCTGTATGTCATATGTACATGTAAATACTGTATGTTCTTCCACTTCGTCCATTGCCGGGTCACAGAGGCAGCAGTCTGAGCAGAGAGACACTCAGGCTCCAAACGCACAACATTACAGCGTTCTCATTGCTCCTCGCTGTTAGAGTGGTCGGTTTTTCTGCAAACAAAACTCCTTTTGACTCTTCTTTCAGTCTATTGTGTGTTACTCTAAATACTTATTAGAAAACTTTAATAAGTCGTAAGTGAGAAGTGTAACCCCTTAATTAGACCACACTTCTTGTAATTAGATTTCATTTATGATCAAAATACTGATCTGAGGTATTTTTTGTTTTTTTGTTAAACTATCTCTCACTGCTTAAACAACACAGTTCAATTGAATATTTTGAATGTGGAAAAACCCAGACACAGAGACTGCTGCAGTCAGATAAACTCTACACACAACACACAGTTAGCAGTAGAATCAGTGTACAGAAGTATTTTCTGTGACCTGAACATAGTTAATAAAACATAAAAGCCCATATAAATTTTATAACTTAAAGCAGCAGTAAGCGATTTGGTCGTTTCCGGCAGTTTCTTCTGCCTGAGCGAGTTAGTAGCCCCGCCCCCGTCTCCTCGTCACACCACATGAACGCGCATCGTGTTGGTGATGGCAGCAGCAGATTCATCTCCGTCAGGTCTACTCGTAAGTATATTAACAACAAACTCTGGGAGTGAAATATTAGCATAGAATAGCTCAGTTGTAACCTAGCTATAACACTGGAAGCAGCTTGGTGTTAGCTAGGATAGCATCACTAAGAGATAAAAACAATCCAGTCTTTTATAGAATAATACTGCTTTTATAGTTGGCACACTGATAACTGTTGTGATAAACATAATGTTGCAAATTGCAGTGTGACGTGTCTCAACATTATGCACTGTAACATCTGTTACAGTGCATATGTATTAGATGAATGTAATGCATATACATTACAACAACAAAGCTTTACATGAAGGTTATTTAAAGTAATACATTACTGCTTTCCTCACAATTTGTATATTTGGAGTTCTTTATAGACAACACTGTAGTAATGTATTATGTGAAAGTAAAGCTGCATCTCACTGGAAGCTGCCTTCTCAATGTCACAAAATAAAGATACATTTATTGATGTAATCAACATCTGTATTATGTGCTTATTGTTCAGAGAATGAAGACAAAATCAAAGTGTATCAGAGCTGTACAGTGAGATGTGGGACTGAAAAACAATTCCAGTAAAGCTTGTCCGAAACGCAAAAGTACTGTCATAACTAATTACGTTACACTATTACACTGTAAGGAAACTCACCACTTTGAAAGAAAAGCTACAAGTAACAGAATATATAAAGTCATTTGTCATAACGGTTCTTTCAGGAAGCACTGAACGCCCTCTGTCCAGAGAAGCTGATGACCAGATCCTCCCAGACCTTTCCCTGGTGCGTCTGTGAAAGGTGCCAACAGACATTGAAAACGTGCTTTCCTCAGCGGCCCCCATGGTGCACGTCCTCAGCGGCCCCCCATGGTGCACGTCCTCAGTGGCCCCCATGGTGCACGTCCACTCTGCAGTTCTGAAATATGTTTGTAGTTGTACTATTTCAAAATAAAAAAAAATACATTCACCTCTTTCAATGTGCTTTGTTTTATAGTAGGAAAACAAATACAGTCTGTAACGAGTCTAAGAAACTTTATTATGTAAAAGAAGATTTGAAGTTATAGCCGGAAAAATATACACAATGTCCCTACTAAGACAAATAATTACAAGTGATGGTAAGGCAACGTTTGTGTTATCACTTTTTGCTCAAATGAATAACACTGTTATTATTCAGGTCCTTATCCATCGCTGCTGCAGCGAACACTATCAGAGATATCTAACAAAATGTTAATCTTTATGTTGTAGTTTGTTTGAACACATTTCCTCAAAATAATTCATAAGCAGCCACGCACACACAGCCACAAGCACACACAGTCACAAGCACACACAGCCACAAGCACACACAGTCACAAGCACAGTCACACACAGCCACAAGCACACACAGTCACAAGCACACACAGTCACAAGCACACACAGTCACAAGCACACACAGCCACAAGCACACACAGCCACAAGCACACACAGCCACAAGCACACACAGCCACAAGCACACACAGCCACAAGCACAGTCACACACAGTCACAAGCACAGTCACACACAGTCACAAGCAGTCACACACAGCCACAAGCACACACAGTCACAGTCACACACAGCCACAAGCACACACAGCCACAAGCACACACAGCCACAAGCACACACAGCCACAAGCACACACAGCCACACGCACACACAGCCACACAGTCACACACAGTCAGTCACACACAGCCACACGCACACACAGCCACACGCACACACAGCCACACGCACACACAGTCACACGCACACACAGTCACAAGCACACACAACACAACCACACACCCACACACACAGCACACACAGTCACAAGCACACACACACAGCACACACAGCACACGCACACACACACACACACAGCCACACACAGCACACACAGCACACACAGCACAGCACACAGCCACACACACACAGCACACACAGCCACAAGCACACACAGCCACACGCACACACAGCCACACACAGTCACAAGCACACACAGTCACAAGCACACACAGTCACGCTTCAGGGGCCCAGGTTGAAGGAACTGGAGTCTTCCTCTGGCAGAGATTTTCCTTTGAAACATAATAGAAGAGACATAAGTTTTATCTACTCAAATATGACTTTGATATATTCATCATCAACAACATCAGTATTTATTGGTCACCAGGAGTGGCCCCTGATCCACAGGATCCTTGAACATGTTTATTTGGACTGTGAGAGACTGTGCATTGTGAGAGAAAGACACTTACATCGGCTGTTTTGGGAGTCGAGTGATTATCTCACTCCTCTTGATTGTTGAAGAAACTCAGCGACAGTTTTGTCAACACTGACTCCTGGAACATGATCGATATTCATTTTGGACCTCAGGGCAGCAACACAACTGTAGGGATGAACGACACACACATCACAACATCATTATCATAATCACTGCGTCCCATATATGCATTCACAACAACCTACATGACAAATGTGGGGTGTAAAGTCTTCCTCAGGAGATGACAATGGCCGATCTTCTAATTCTGGAAGCAAAGTCTTGTCTTCAGTCAATACTAGAGAAAGAAGAGGTCAGCAGAAAAGTATCTAGTCGTTATGGCATTGTTTTTTTTTTAATAGTTATTTAACTTGCATTATGGAGGCTTTTGAACTCTTGTACATTGAAGACCTCATTCCAATTGATTTAGGCCATACTGGAAAAGATACAGAGAAAAGAATGCAATGAAGACATGTAAATTATTACAATGTCTATATTATATCATGCTCATAATTTATTTGGTAGTAGTCAGCAAGACTTTTCTTACTTATTCTCAATACATAATAATAAAAATGTATGTAGTGGTCACGGAAGTTAGATTTCAGGTAAAGAGATATTGTTTTTATAACAATAAAACTAATATACAGAGTGCAAGTTGAAAAACTTAGTCATTGAAGAATGAAATGCAGACCTACATATATATATAGTGCAAGCAACTATGTTTATTGGCAAAAACAAACGATTCATACAGATTAGAAGTGTTCGTAGCAGCCACATCATATTCACAACTACAGACAGCTAATGCTAACAGCTAACGCTAATGCTAACACCACTTCACGGGGGAACTCTGGTGATATGGTCATTTAATGTTGTACATGTGGGGAACTAATAATTGACCGGAGTTTATGGATGGCTGAGGCTGGGCTAAGGCTTCGATGTTGTGTTGTCTGTTGTTGTTTCTCAAAGCTAAGCCAAGGTAATGCGCAGTTATTGCCACAAAATGCGGCCGTATTTCTACAACAGCTGGGGATTTTTAACTAGCTAACTTGGTGAAAACCCGCATTACAGTCTCAGGCAACAATATGTATAAATAATACAACTACTACTGCCACTACTGAGTAACATGCTCACCTGTTCAGTCGGAGAGAGGAATCCACGGAGCTAGAGGTCGCCAACATGAATGCAGCTGGTCACCATGTTGCTCCTACTTTTTGTCGTTCCTCTGTTTCTGGCGTTTTGCCTGTATTTAATAAATCCATGGTATTTAGTCTGCAGCAGCGCTGGAGGCGGCTTTTCCTTCTCCGCCATGTTTGTTTTGAAGAGTGCGCGTGCACACACGGGAGAAACCCCTTATAAGGCGTGCTCTCTCGTCATTGGATAAGCGCATAGGATGTGAGGTTTTTTTATTAAATATGTGGGAGAAGACTGGAAGGACTGAGAGATCCGTGTTTAGGTACAAACACTCTATATAAGTGATGGCTATTGGAATATATCAATATTTAAGACGTATATTAACACCCAAAAATCGCTTACTGCTGCTTTAATATTATAACTTAGTAATTCATATAACATTTTAATATATATTAAAGTGATACAATGTGGGCTAACTGTGGTGTCACTGTTCCATTTACAGTCATTTGTAACATATAACTAACAATACTGTAGTTATAATAAATACTTTTTACTTCGGTGGGTGCAGTGGACTCTGGTGACACTAGGGGCAGTAACGAGCACTGCAGAATGAATGACCGGCGGCCATGTTTGTAGTCCATTTCTCTTGGCTTTCTATATTTGCGACATACATTTTCTCTGCTCGCGATTTCGGGAAATTCTTTGATGTTTTCCGATCAAATCAGCTGTGATCTTTGCTAATATACTGAAGGAAGATGCAGGATGACCCACACTACGTCAAACGGTAATGAAATATGCGTTTTCTTGTAGTTTTTTTCTGTTAGCTTCTTATCCCTCTGTTACAAGACAGGAGCAACGGCTGTCAGATTGCAAACATTAGAATGAATTACGTGCTATTGTTTGAAGTTTAGCAGAATTTATGCCATAGCTACAATGCATTCACTCTAAATCATGCACAAATGAACCTGCTAGCATTAGGTGGCTCTGCACAATTTTTAAAAAGTGAGTTTGGTGATCACTATAACTCCATTCATAGTAAGCAAACCTTTAACTACATTAACTTGTTTACATTTAATCTGATGAAACACGTCACACAAACTACGCAGGCTAACGTCAATGTTAATTATCTGATGGACGTTTTGACAGAGATTCATAAGCGGCTAACATTAAAGAGCTAGCATGTGCCTGCCCTGCTCAATGCTAGTTTAGCCATATTTATGTGTTATTACAGATGTAGAATGAGTGATTGTGCTTTTAGGCCTTCTGTTAACGTTTAAGCAGTTGGTCATCGCGTATAAGCCTTTTATTACCGTTAATAATTAGCTGAACCACCACTGCACTGGGTTTAGCCACTTAGCTTCAACATTAGCAGCTAGCATGTGAGCGACAGCAGGAGACCTTTAACAACACGACCATGGGTGTGTTCGTTTGTTATTGTCACGTGGTGTGTTCAGTAATAATCTGAGAGGTTTGCTTCAGTTGGAAACAAGAAAATACAGAACTAACAATAAAAATAGATGTGTGTTTGTCATTGGAGTAAAAATGTGGAATGATCTTAATGACCAGCTTAAGTTAAAATCTGGAACAGTCTTCCTGAAGATGTGAGACAGGCCTCCTCTCTGACAATGTTTAAAACCAGGTTAAAGACAGTTCTGTTTAGCTGTGCACACAACTGAGGGATTTTATATGTTTATCTTTCTTTTTAATGTTCTGTGATTATTTATGATTTTAATGCTTTCTTGTTTTGTTCAGCACTTTGAGTTGCCTTGTGTATGAATTGTGCTATACAAATAAACTTGCTTTGCCTTGCCTGAGTTAATTAATACATTATCAATATTTAAAACTATCTTAAAATGTGAAATTATTAATTCAAATACATTGTCTTAAAAGTAATGATTATAATAATAAAAATATAACAAATCAAGAAAAGTGAACAAAAATACCCTGTTCTAGCAAATATGCATTTTATGTTTTAAATCAGTAATATGTACTTTTTTTGTTTTTGTTTACATAGTTGCTGTGTTTAAGTAGCTAATGACCTGTATGTGATGTGATGTCAGGTTGGGCTCACGTAAGAAAGTTGCTTCAGCCCGATAATATAGTCAGTGAATGTGATATGTTATTAATCAAACAACTGACCCAAAATAAACATTTATTTATTTATTATTTGTTTATTTGGTAGGGACAGAACAAGAAGCATTGTTACAGGAACCGATGCTGTGTTCATAGGCCGTATAGCTAACAGCTAGTTTGCAGACCTGGTCCCTAAAACCTATAAATACATCACATTTACATTATACAAACAGTACATCATTATATTAAAAAAAATAAGTAATAAGTTATACTAAATAATAAACAAGAATACAATACAAAATACAAAAATAATAAAAAAAAAAAAAAAAAAATACTATAAATGATTACAGTCTTGCATTATGCTCACAAGTTCACATTCATTCATTCATAACATATCCATGTGTGAATATAAGGTCCTGGATAATATCTTCATTTTGATATTTGATAATAATAGCTGAGAATAATAATTGTTCTGTGTAATATGAGCTGAATTACTTAGTCACGCACTCTTATGGTTGCAGTTCAGTCACATGTAAATGCAAATTCAGGTTCATGTTTCCAAGCACACAACCTACTCATTCTGATTAAAAACTTGGTTGTATTTAGCTAGTTCTCATCAATTTACAGATGGCCAATAATAACACTTTTTTAGAAGGAAATGGGGCCAATGTATCTTTATCTCTTATTGAGTTTAACCAAATTAAGCAGTCATGTTCTTTATTATTGTGCTTTGTTCTTCACTCACAGCAAAATCACCCCTGGCATCTTGGACGTCCACCCCACAGAGAAGGCCCTGGTGGTGAACTATGAGGTGGAGGCTTCCATCCTGGGGGAGGATGGAGGGTCCATGCTGGGCGAGCGAAAGGAATGCCAGAAAATGTGAGTTTTCTACAGTGCATTTAGGACAAGGACTGTTTTGAGGAGCAGTACTCAAGCAATGCCGGTTTTGAAAGTGTTAAAATTTGGGCCCCACGATTTTAAAGAAATGTCTGTGTCTATGTGTGTGTCTGTGTCATTGCCTGTGTGTGTAGTATCCGGGTGAAGAGCCTCAGCCCCACCACAGATGTAGCAGCACTGGCAAAGAAGGTGGTGGAGGAGTGCAAGCTGATCCCGGCTTCGTACCTGCCCCATGTGGAACAGCTGCTGTACTACCTGCAGAACCGCAAGAGCTCCCCAGTGGAAGGACGAGGTGTGGCACTGCTCCAGCTCACAGACTGAACTTAGATTCAGGGACAAGTCCTCTACAGCACAATCAAGTCAGGTGTACAGCACAGCCACACAATAGGAGGCAGCCACTCCCATTTAGCCCCCAGACCAATGTAGCTAAATGCCAGAAATAGATAAACCATCTCAACATCTCATTGTGTTTATGAATGTGTATGTGTGGTGTTTGTGTTAGCAGGAGAAAAGAAGGAGAAGAGAGTCGCAAAGCCCAAAGAGTTGGCACCATTTGAAGGAATGGAGGTAAGAGTTACAGTGTATCCAGCTGAATGTGTCCGTGTCTGTCTTTGCGTCTGTCTCTGCGTCTGTCTCTGCATCTGTCTCTGTGTCTGTCTCTGCGTCTGTCTCTGCGTCTGTCTCTGCGTCTGTCTCTGCGTCTGTCTCTGCGTCTGTCTCTGTGTCTGTCTCTGTGTCTGTCTCTGCGTCTGTCTCTGCGTCTGTCTCTGCGTCTGTCTCTGTGTCTGTCTCTGTGTCTGTCTCTGTGTCTGTCTCTCTCTCTGCGTCTGTCTCTGCGTCTGTCTCTGTGTCTGTCTCTGCGTCTGTCTCTGCGTCTGTCTCTGCGTCTGTCTCTGCGTCTGTCTCTGTGTCTGTCTCTGTGTCTGTCTCTGTGTCTGTCTCTCTCTCTGCGTCTGTCTCTGCGTCTGTCTCTGTGTCTGTCTCTGTGTCTGTCTCTCTCTCTGCGTCTGTCTCTGCGTCTGTCTCTGTGTCTGTCTCTGTGTCTGTCTCTCTCTCTGCGTCTGTCTCTGCGTCTGTCTCTGCGTCTGTCTCTGTGTCTGTCTCTCTCTCTGCGTCTATCTCTGTGTCTGTCTCTGCGTCTGTCTCTGTGTCTGTCTCTGCGTCTGTCTCTGCGTCTGTCTCTGCGTCTGTCTCTGCGTCTGTCTCTGCGTCTGTCTCTGTGTCTGTCTCTGTGTCTGTCTCTGCGTCTGTCTCTGCGTCTGTCTCTGCGTCTGTCTCTGCGTCTGTCTCTGTGTCTGTCTCTGTGTCTGTCTCTGTGTCTGTCTCTCTCTCTGCGTCTGTCTCTGCGTCTGTCTCTGTGTCTGTCTCTGTGTCTGTCTCTCTCTCTGCGTCTGTCTCTGCGTCTGTTTCTGCATCTGTCTCTGTGTCTGTCTCTCTCTCTGCGTCTGTCTCTGCGTCTGTCTCTGTGTCTGTCTCTGTGTCTGTCTCTCTCTCTCTGCGTCTGTCTCTGTGTCTGTCTCTCTCTCTGCGTCTATCTCTGTGTCTGTCTCTGCGTCTGTCTCTGTGTCTGTCTCTGCGTCTGTCTCTGCGTCTGTCTCTGCGTCTGTCTCTGCGTCTGTCTCTGCGTCTGTCTCTGTGTCTGTCTCTGTGTCTGTCTCTCTCTCTGCGTCTGTCTCTGCGTCTGTCTCTGCGTCTGTCTCTGCGTCTGTCTCTGTGTCTGTCTCTGTGTCTGTCTCTCTCTCTGCGTCTGTCTCTGCGTCTGTCTCTGCGTCTGTCTCTGCGTCTGTCTCTGTGTCTGTCTCTGCGTCTGTCTCTGCGTCTGTCTCTGCGTCTGTCTCTGTGTCTGTCTCTGCGTCTGTCTCTGCATCTGTCTCTGTGTCTGTCTTTCTCTCTGCGTCTGTCTCTGCGTATGTCTCTGCGTCTGTCTCTGCGTCTGTCTCTGCGTCTGTCTCTGCGTCTGTCTCTGCGTCTGTCTCTCTCTCTGCGTCTGTCTCTCTCTCTGCGTCTGTCTCTGCGTCTGTCTCTGCGTCTGTCTCTGCGTCTGTCTCTGCGTCTGTGTCTGTCTCTGTGTCTGTCTCTGCGTCTGTCTCTGTGTCTGTCTCTGCGTCTGTCTCTGTGTCTGTGTCTGTCTCTGTGTCTGTCTCTGTGTCTGTGTCTGTCTCTGTGTCTGTCTCTGCGTCTGTCTCTGTGTCTGTCTCTGCGTCTGTCTCTGTGTCTGTCTCTGCGTCTGTCTCTGTGTCTGTCTCTGCGTCTGTCTCTGTGTCTGTCTCTGCGTCTGTCTCTGTGTCTCTCTCTGCGTCTGTCTCTGTGTCTGTCTCTGCGTCTGTTTCTGCGTCTGTCTCTGTGTCTGTCTCTCTCTCTGCGTCTGTCTCTGCGTCTGTCTCTGCGTCTGTCTCCGAGTCTGTCTCCGAGTCTGTCTCCGAGTATGTCTCTTTGTCTGTCTCTGTGTCTGTCTCTTTGTCTGTCTCTTTGTCTGTCTCTGCGTCTGTCTCTCCGTCTGTCTCTGCGTCTGTCTCTCCGTCTGTCTCTGAGTCTGTGTCTGTGTCTCACCATGTGTCCGCCTGCAGCTGAATGAAGAAGCCAGTATCACAAAGGTGGAGGAATACGTGGAACTGCTGTATGAAGGCATCCCAGAGAAAATCCGCGGCTCCGCCCTCATCCTGCAGCTGGCCCGTAACCCGGACAACCTGGAGGAGCTCATGCGTAACGGTATTCTGCCTGACCGCTGCTGTCAGACTGTACAATGAGAACTGTAAAGCCTGTAAATGTCATCTCATCTGTAAATAGTAAATACTGCAATTTACTGTCTCTTAATCTACTTTTTTTTAATCCTGCCATAAATGTATATAATTTACACGCTTTCTCTGAGATATGAACTCATTGCTTCTTCATGTGTTTGCGCAGAGGCTGCTCTCGGGGCTCTGGCCAGGGTTTTGAGAGAAGACTGGAAACAAAGCGTGGATCTGGCCTCCATCATTATCTACATATTTTTCTGCTTTTCCAGGTCGGTGAATTTCATATTAGCTTTTATAATTCTGACATTTAAAACAGCCTTGGCTTATAAAAGTACAAGTGAAAAGAAACAGCTGCTCTAAAACGCATACAAGTACAGAAATATATACATACAGTAGATATACAAATAGCATTAATAAGGACCAGTGCTTTGTCTCCCAGTTTCTCCCAGTTCCATGGAGTGGTGTGTCACTACAAAGTGGGAGCCCTGTGCATGAGCGTCGTCGAGCACGAGCTGAAGAGACACGACGTTTGGAAAGAAGAGCTGCGCAAGAAGAACAAAGCCTATATCCACCGCTGCGGTTTAGTTTAAAAGCTTCTAACCTCGTCACATCCACCCCTCACAAAACGCCGATTCTGGGTTTGTCTCCAGTCATGTTGTAGTAATAACATTGCATTCATGTGTTGCGGATTGTAGTTTTTCATTTAACTAGCTGTTTTTTTTTCTCTTTTTTTCTACTTTCTTTCTTTCAAGTTCTTATGCATTTTTGTATAGCCCTAAGTCACTACAATAGTCAGTTCTAACACAGGAAGTGCACTAATAACAAACACACAGGAGCCATCATTCCTTAGAGACTGTAATGTATTTATTGCATGAAAAATAAAACTGAATTATAGCAGAAAACAGCCCGATTTGTTTAAGAAACGAGAAGACCCGTCTGTTGTGGTACTTACAATCCAGCAGTGTAGAGTAAGGTAAACGACAAACCTTACACTAGGCTGTTGTCGCGTCGTTTGTTTGATTCTTTAACTGCTGTTTTTTACGTGAGACATCTCCAGAGAACGGATCACTGCGGAGGGACCAGGACAAGGCCATGCGGAAATACCAGAGTCTGCTGGCCAAACAGGAGCAGCTGCTGAGAGGTGGGAGCTGTTTCTGTGAAAGGAAGAACGGCATTGTGGGACTTCGGTTGTTTGCCGCATTGTTATATTAGCAGCAGGTTTCAAAGAACTAGAAAAAAGTAGCGTCTTATAGTCTGGAAGTGATTACAGTAGATTACCATTAACCAGTATACTTCCATCTGTCTTGTGCACACTGGGGATGTTTGAAAATATTATTCTATTGCTGCAAATTAAATGAATCTGAATTCCTGTCAGTGTCCTTGTACCTGCTGCTGAACCTGGCGGAGGACACCAGGACGGAGCTGAAGATGAGGAACAAGAACATCGTGGGGCTCTTGGTCAAAGTCCTGGACCGGGAGGACGAGGAGCTGCTGGTGCTCGTGGTGTCGTTCCTCAAGAAGCTCTCCATCTTCCTGGAAAACAAGAACGACATGGTGAGAGCCGGAAGCAGAAGCAGACTGTGTTTTGGACCACCTGTCACCTGTGCTCTTATGCAAAGATAGTCCCTCTACTTAGACTAAACGTTCTCCTCCTCAGGCCGAACTGGACACGGTGGAGAAGCTGTCCCGCCTGGTTCCCTGTGACCACGAGGACCTCCTGAACCTGGCCCTCAGACTGCTGCTCAACCTGTCCTTCGACTCCGGCCTCAGAGCCAAGATGGTGGAGGTGGGACTGCTGCCCAAACTCACCGCTCTGCTGGGTAAGAAGAGAGAGAAGCAAGCAGTGTTTTCCATCTTTCTGTTAAAATACACACACACATACAGGGATTGATCAGTGCTGCTTTACTGCCACCTAGTGACAATGCAAGATCTGCACCTCTGCTGACTGAAGAAACCTATACTTACAATTTTCGCAAATCCGTGGAACATTGTAATTCCTGGTTTATCCAGATGCATTTCATTGATCCAGAGAATTTATCGATTAAGACAATTAGTCAAAAAAAGATAAACAGAGCCGCTCCCGGCTTCAGATGAAAACATTTGTTCCCGGCCTGAATGGGTTAAATCACTTGCCCGATTGGGCAACTTGCTAAAACGGTGCACTTGCCCGTCCCAAATCTTTACTTGCCCTTGGCAAGCGGACAACCGTTAATGTTGAGCCCTGGCTTAACTCTTTGGTCCCAAACATTGATATAGTTTTGTGTTTTGAAGGCGACGAGAACAACAAGCAGGTGGCCATGCGCATCCTGTACCACATCAGCATGGACGACCGCTTCAAAGTCATGTTTGTCTACACCGACTGCATCCCACAGGTAAACTCCACTCTCAAACTATGAGAAAACAATTAGGGTGCTATAGGGTGAATGTGTTTTGTGCAGCTGATGCAGATGCTGTACGATCACGGGGAGGAGGCGTCGGACATGGAGCTGGTCTCTGTCGGCATCAACCTGGCGGCGAACAAGAGGAACGCTCAGCTCATGTGTGAAGGTCTGCACCAGGCTAACAATAAAAACACATCACTGCTCACATACAGAGAGAGAGAGAGAGAGCGAAGAGAGAGGGAGAGACAGGGGGCAGAGAGAGAGAGAGACAGGGGGCAGAGAGAGAGCGAGAGAGAGGGAGAGACAGGGGGCAGAGAGAGAGAGAGACAGGGGGCAGAGAGAGAGAGAGACAGGGGGCAGAGAGAGAGAGGGAGAGACAGGGGGCAGAGAGAGAGAGAGACAGACAGGAGGCAGAGAGAGAGAGAGACAGACAGGAGGCAGAGAGAGAGAGAGACAGACAGGGGGCAGAGATAGAGAGAGAGACAGGGTACAGGAGGCAGAGAGAGAGAGACAGACAGGGGGCAGAGAGAGAGAGAGAGAGAGAGACAGGGTACAGGAGGCAGAGAGAGAGAGAGGATGAATGAGCCCCATAACATGTTACTTAACTCTTCACATACTTACGACACAGTCTACAAACGGCTGTAGCTTTTGTGTTTTTTTGACCAATAACTATTGAAACACTTTGGCGTCTGCAGGAAGCGGTCTGAAGATGTTGATGAAGAGGGCTCTGAAGATGAAAGACTGCCTCCTGATGAAGATGATCAGAAACATTTCTCAACACGACGGGCCCACCAAGACACTATTTATTGTGAGTTTGTGGTTATTTTAGTATAAAACCATACCCTGTAGTGTAGTCATTTGTGTATCTGTTCATAAATCTTTCCCGTGCAGTGAGGAAAACACAGAAAAAAGACTCACACGAGCCTATTTTATGTATATGTTACTTACTTTTACAACATGCCGTAATCACAACTCATTAAGTGAATTTCTCTTGCGGCCGCTGGTTCAGGAGTACGTTGGAGACTTGGCCGCAGAGATCCGAGAGGAGGAGGAGGAGGAGTGGGTTCTGGAGTGTCTGGGGACTCTGGCCAATCTCACCATCCCTGACCTGGACTGGGAACTGGTGCTGAAGGAGTACAACCTGGTGCCCTACCTCAAGGACCGCCTCAAGCCAGGTATCAGACCCGGGGTCACCTCCAAACAGCTCCTGACACCCTCGAAAAGATCACATCAGACATCATTACTCTGGACCACAGCACGTACATAGTCACAAACCATATTCATATACACTTTTTCCCAGAACTTTCCCTGTTTTTTCCGGTTTACAAAAACAGAACCTTGTATTAAATTGGAAAGAGAACCGCACTCCGGTTATGAAACTACCAGAATAAATGAATAAATGCCTGTAGTTCTGGCTGTATTCTTGGGTTTCATATCACGTCACAGGACAGGACGTGACGTATCCTGGCGGTGCCGGGTTTATACACGGAGACACAGTAGAAGAAGAAGAGCTGTCAAAATGCCATCTTTGTGTGCGGTGAACACTTGTAGCAACCGCACAAATAGAGAGAAAGACAAGAGTTTCTTCCGTGTTCCAACTGTGGTCTCATATAAAGGAGGACACTTTGAAGAAATCACTGGAATGAGGCGGGCGAGGTGGATCAAGGCTTTCCCAGATAAGCGCCCCCTGCAGGCCACCCCAATGAAACGCAGCAATTTCTTCTGTTTTTTTATTTTTTTTATGCCCAAACTCAAGACTTTTTAATTGAGGGTCCCCGATTAAGACTGTTACAACAACCGTACACCGCACAGGATGAGAGCCTTTTGACTCCAAAACAGACTTTACATGGTTTACATGCTCAGTCGCCCCCTACTGGCCAGTTTAATGAAACACAAGAATAGACTCAAACCCCACTCAATGAAAAATAGCACATTTTCACATCTGAGTACATAGTTGGCTCTAGATAAAATTATAGGTACTTAATATTTCCCAATTTTATATGTGTGTATTATAATGAAATTACTCTGAAATGAAACTGCATATTCCATACAAAAAAACCTAAATTTGTGCTCTGTTTTTGCCTTAAAACCGTGTCTTAGCATGTCCATGAGTCCCAACATCACATTTTTGCAGCTAAGATCTTCTCTCTTGTGATTTTTTATTTGTATTGTGTATATTTATGTTTCTGTTTATCTCTTTGTAATACCTTGTGTATGAACTGTGCTATACAGATATAGATATAACGATACTTCTACTGAAATACTCGATTACTGATTAGTTGCAAATAGAGCAATTGTTTCAGCGTTGTAAGAAAAGCAATACTAATATTTCACCCATACTCTTCTTCTCCTTCACCAACGAGACGAGAACTCACCACGAGCTTCTGAGCGGTTTGAGTTTCAGTTTTGATCTGATTGTTTATTTTCAGATTCGGCAGAAGACGACCTGATCCTGGAGGTGGTCATCATGATCGGGACGGTTTCCATGGACGACGCCTGTGCCGCCATGTTGGCCAAGTCTGGGATCATCCCGGCGCTGATCGAGCTGCTCAACGGTAATGATTTTTAGGACATTCAAACAGACAACGCTCATGTTTGTAGCCCCACTCCCACTATCCCTACTTGGCCTATTCTACTTGGCTCTACTCGGCTCTACTCTGCTCTACTCTACTCTGCTCTGGGCACTAACAGGAGTCCAGTCCCTGGACTCCTGTTAGTGCCCAGGAGGCCTGTAGTTCACGGGCTTCGTACATGTTTCTGCCGATCACCCTGATGTGTGGCTTAAAATCTGTCAAACATGTCTTAATAAATCAGTGAATGATAAATGATTATGAGTCCAATCACTGCCTTAATCCTTATTCTGTGTGTGTGTGTGTGTGTGTGTGTGTGTGTGTGTGTGTCTGTGTCTCTATGTCTGTGTGTCTGTGTCTGTGTCTGTGTGTGTGTGTCTGTGTCTGTGTGTCTGTGTGTGTCTGTGTCTGTGTGTGTGTGTGTGTCTGTGTCTGTGTGTCTGTGTGTCTCTGTGTCTGTGTGTGTGTGTCTGTGTCTGTGTGTCTGTGTGTGTGTGTGTCTCTGTGTCTGTGTGTGTGTGTCTGTGTCTCTGTGTCTGTGTGTCTGTGTCTGTGTCTGTCTGTGTGTCTGTGTCTGTGTGTGTGCAGCTCAACAAGAGGACGACGAGTTTGTGTGTCAGATCGTCTACGTCTTCTACCAGATGGTTTTCCACCAGGCCACACGAGACGTCATCATCAAAGACACGCGTATCCTTCTGCTGCTGTCGGACAAATTAGGATTAAGATTGAGATTAAGAGCTCTTTCATTCGTGGGGAAATGTCAGTGTTGCATCACCAGTTACTGCACAGAAGGAATGAGGAGCAGTTGTTGAACCCTGGATTCATTGTCTGAGTAGAAGCTTGTGTCACATGTTATTATTATTTTATTATTTTTTCACGGTTGTTCCCTGACCCTGGTCTCAGAGGCTCCGGCTTACCTCATCGACCTGATGCAAGACAAGAACGCCGAGATCCGCAAAGTGTGCGACAACACGCTGGACATCATCGCCGTGAGTCCAATTCAAGTCCATTCAATTTATTCTTGTATCGTCCTAAACCACTGTTGTGCCTCGGAGGACTTTACAAAGCTGTCGATTCAGATCAGAGAATATAACGGTTCAAACTCAAGAAATGCAATGATGAAAACACATAGAGCCGTTGGTCCATAAGGGGCAGAGACCAACTTCCAGAGCAGTCAAATTGACGGCTTTTATTTTTGAAATCAGCCCTTTTTGGTCTTTGCAACTTTTTCTGTATCTATAAGTAGTACATTTATGCAATGATTTTTTTTAAATGAAATTATATTTTAGTTTTGATGTGACGAATTCTACCTTTGAAGAATGAGTATTGGTTACTATAGCGACACACCGTCAGCAGTTAGAATTTCGTGTTTAGCATTTCGCCTGTCAGTTTTAGCACTTCGTAAAAGTGAGAAAAGAAAAAAAAGAAAACCTTATACATCATTTACTTTTAATACAACTGGTGGAAAACTTAAAAAAAATTGGGAGAATTTCTCAGAATTCCATTGGTTTGATTGAAAGCAGTCAAAATGACGGCTCTGGGAGTTCTAGTAGTTTCCTGATTGTTCTAGTGTTGATATATGTTCTTAAATGTTATTGAATGTCATACGCAGGAGTACGACGAGGAGTGGGGCCGGAAGATCCAGTCCGAGAAGTTCCGTTTCCATAACAACCAGTGGTTAGACATGGTGGAGAGCCGGCAGGTGGACGAGTGCGAGCCCTATCTCTATGACAACGACACGGAGCGCACCGACCTGTTCTACAGCACAGGTACTCTCCTGCTCCTGGAGGGTTTCTCACATGTTTATTATCTTCATGGAAGAACGGACAAGAAAACAGTGGTCCTTCCAACAACTTTATATCTGGTCTCTCTTCCTGGTCTCCCCCTTTGTCTCTCTCTCTGTTCTCTCTCTTTGGTCTCTCTCTTTGGTCTCTCTCTCTGTTCTCTCTCTTTGGTCTCTCTCTGTTCTCTCTCTTTGGTCTCTCTCTTTGGTCTCTCTCTTTGGTCTCTCTCTCTGTTCTCTCTCTTTGGTCTCTCTCTTTGGTCTCTCTCTCTGTTCTCTCTCTTTGGTCTCTCTCTTTGGTCTCTCTCTGTTCTCTCTCTTTGGTCTCTCTCTTTGGTCTCTCTCTTTGGTCTCTCTCTCTGGTCTTTCTGTGGTCTCTCTCTCCCTTGCCTCTCTCTCTGGTCTCTCACTTGTCTCTCTCTCTGATCTCTCTGGTTTCTCTCTCTTGTCTTTCTCTGGTTTCTCTCTCTTGTCTTTCTCTGGTCTCTCTCTGGTCTCTCTCTCTCCCTCTGGTCCTCCCGCGGCCCTCAGTCCTCAGCTCCTCTCTGGTCTTTGATCTGTGTCTTCTCCATCTTGAACCATGTGTTTTCAGACGGCATCACTCCCGGAGACGGCTCCGTCAGCCCAGACTTCTACGGAGGTTTCCATCGCTCCAATGGAGACCTGTATTTGGGAAACGGGTGAGTCCGAAACAGATGTGAGAGAGCCCTGCAGCGTGTTTTGTCCAACAGTCACTCGTCAATTTTAAGACATTTTATGAAGATTTTTTTATACAAGCCTATTTCTTACTTGTTTGCATCTTGAGCCAAAGTAAATTCCTAGTTTGTGACTTCCTGGGACTTACAATAGCAACATAAATAATTATGATTCCCTCTTCCCTGTGGGACCTGGAAAATGAGACGCTAATTCACTTCTACCACCAGGTTTTTCTTTCTCCTTTCAAACATCAAACATTTCGTGCTGTAAACCCATCCCCAATGCTGGAAAAAAGACATAATTTCACTGGAGAAATTGTCGAGTAGTTCTTCCAAAACCTGTTTCTTCCATCGCCGATATAATCAAAGCTTCATTTTTGTATAGCCCTGTATAACAGCAGTCTTCTCGGGGGACTTTACAAAGTTGGCGATGTTTAAACACAAATTAAAGAATCAAACGGTTGAAAGACAGGAAATGCAGCGATTAAAAACACTTAGAGCCATGAGTTTCATTGTATATAAATATTTTGTGTGTGTTTTGTCTACACAGCAGCTTGGTGAGTCTAGGCTGTTTTAAATGTGCTATACAAATAACTATGAGAGTTGGTTTGTGTTTTAGGGACCCTCCAGACGTGTTCGACCAGACCACCTCGTCTCCGGGGCGACCAGTGACCGCGTACGGCTTCAGACCCGACGAACAGCCTTTCTACAGCTATTCTTAAACATCACCATCATTCACTATGCTTCTTACACACACACACACACACACACACACACACACACACACACACACACACACACACACACACACACACACACACACACACACACACACACACACACACACACACACACACACTCATGATTCAGAATGTGAAATAATATCTAAAGATGAAGATGTGAGAATAAACATGTATAAAGGATACAAAATGCTCTCATCATGTAATACCCACCTCCACCACCGGGGCTTTTCAAACATTCCGTGAACACGTAGTAGTAAAGATTTCACTGGAGAAATCGCCAAAACTAAATTAAATATTGTGATAATTACAGATATTAGGCTTTGCTCAATCCACAAACGTTTATTTTCTTTTTCTTGTTTAAAAAAAAAAATCAATATATATCAATAATATATACGTTAAAAGTAGGAGATACTGATATTTATGCATATCTGTCTGTATCACTCAGAGACACATTCACTTCGACCACCAGGTTTTTCTTCTTCTTTCAAACATCAAACATTACGTGCTGTAAATCCATCCACGATGCTGTAAAAAAAATAGTTTTATCATTTCACTGGAGAAATCGTCAAAACTAACTTGACAACGCTTCCTATCAGTGTATAATATCTGTATCAGTTCATAGACTTTCGTTCGGCTTGTGTGGCATGTTCGGGATTCTTGTTAGATCTGAGGCTATAAACCTTACTTCTTTGTCCGTGAGGTTAAAGTGCTAACCACTCTGCCACTGAAATCAAAGAGCTCCTATCCGCTACAACTGGCCTTTCTAGTCGTAGCAGCCGTCGCAGTATTAGACTAAGCTTTCCTGTTTTTCTCCTGTCACATAAAAGTCACTGGATAAATGTGCAACGTAAAAACACTGGACTCGCAAGGAATTAATTTTATGTTTTGAAGACGTTTTTGATATGAATTTATTGTGAACCGCTCCACACGACTGACATATCCTTATTTATAGGCATTTTTGCACACTTGAAATCGCATGTTTGTATAAATCATTGTTTTTTTATGGTTTTGTCGCTGATGATTTGTGTTTCTTCCATCCGCTACGAGATGATTGTAATCTACATGTTCTGTTGTCGGAATGATTATAGAAAAAAAACATTCCAAATAAAAATGTACTTCTGAGCTGTGTGTCGAGATTTCAATCGGGAGAGACTCGAGACAAGATTGCATTAGAATATTTATTGTCGAGATGCATGACTAAACACCAGCAGACTTAGATTGAGTACTAATATATTTATTGATAAGCTTTGAGATTAGACCCCGGCGGGAATTCTCCCTGACGTCTGCAGGAGGGAGTTTGTTAGAAATGATGAGCTTGCGACCCCCCGGGGCCTAGAACCTGGAGGCGAAGATATGACACCGAAAATGATTCTCCACTGAAGAGGCGGTGATGGGGAGGAGGTGGGTTGCTGCTCGAGGAGCTTGAGCTGCAAAGAACTGAGGGGCTCTGTTTAAATGCAGCCATTATGTGATGAGCACAGGTGTGTTACTAAGGCTGATGTTGAGCTCAGGTGCAGTTTGTAGAGGGGAGGAGTCAGTGCAGAAGGGGAGGAGTCAGTGTAGAGGGGGAGGAGTCAGTGTTACGTCTCTTTGGTCTTCCTTTCTGAATTTGCTTCACTTCATTTTAGATTTTACACACTCACCTAAACCAAAAGCTCAAATCTATAAGGTGTTTTTTTTGTTAACTTTTTTACTGGTATCTCACCAAAAAAGATCTTGGTTCATTCATTTGCATTTTCAGTCTTCTTACTTGAGCCAGATGTCCAGACAGGGGCTTTGAGTTGAATTTAACTTGCCTCATAATTCAAAATTCAGTTTATTTGCCATAAACCACATTGGAATAACTGTGCAAGACTACCCCAGTGTAAGTAAGTAAGTTAGTAAGTTTTTATTTATATACCGCCTTTTCACTTCAGATCTGAGTCTCAAAGCGGTTTACAATTGTTAATTATGGGCATTTGTCTCTCACTCCACACAGAGATGGGAGCGGGGTCGCCAGTACAGGAGGCGCATGCCAGAACTATTGGACATATTTTTAGTGGTAGGGGAAACCGGAGTACCCGGAGGAAACCTACGCAGACACGGGGAGAACATGCAAACTCCACTCAGAAAGGCCCTGGTCCGACCGGGATTCGAACCCAGGACCTTCTTGCTGAGAGGCGAGAGTGCTATCCACTCAGCCACCGTGCCGCCCAGTGTATCTTCCATTGTTTTGTTTTGAATATATTTGAAACCAAATTTGTACTGCTGTCAAACAAAGAGGCTGTATCCAAAAAACACACTGCTTTTACCACATTTGTTTTTTTTTATTGTTTGAATCACCATTTCCAAACACAACAGTCATTACAAATAGAAAAACTCCAAACCTCTCACTTTGTCTTCGAGAAAAATAAAGAATTCTGAAGCTTCGTGGTGCATTGTCAAAAGAACAGACAGTAGGAAATGTACAGCCACAATGATTATACCGGATATAGATATAATAATAATACATAACATTGCACTTAATACCAGAAAAAAAAGTCAAAATAATTGTACATTATTTACATCAAGGCACTGAGCGGGAAAATCTCTTTGGACGGGACTGCCGCCAGCGGAGTCCCCAGCGAAATAACCAGGAATGTTGCTTTGTTATTTTTATCTGCAGGTTACGGGTGAAAAAATACACCCAATTTTTGTCTGAGTCTGTCATAAAAAAAATCTTGTGGGTGCATTTTTTTTAGCAATAAAAAAAAAGCCAAGTCATGATTAAGTAGATGTGGGCAAATGGGAAAGCAGACAGGACACTGAAAACATAGAATTATTACTAAAGTTAAAACATATCTTATTTTTGCTGTGTCTTTTAGCCGATATCGTTACGTATTGTAGCGTTTCTGTGGCTAAAATATAAGAATAGACTCATGAAAAAGAAAAAAAGGACCAAACCATGTACAAAAAAGTTACATTCAGAAGTAAAAAATTGACTAAATGAGAGAAATTCTGAGCTATTTTTGTTACTGTATTAAAAATCGCTGCAGCTCGAGTCCGGACTAGAACCAGGAAGTGGGATCACATTAGTCCAGTTCTCAGGTCTCTGCTTCCTGCGGCTCAGGTCTGCCCAGAGACGGGACTAAACATGGGGGAGGCAGCATTTCAGATTCTCGCAGCTAAAATCTGGGTATTCCTGAAAATGTGAGACAGGCCTTTTCTCTGACAATGTATCTTCACTCTTTTTAATTTCCTCTGATTATTTATGATTGTAATGCCTTATGATTGCTTTGTGCTATACAGATAAACTTGCCTTGCCTGTATTGGAATATTCTGGAGGTGAAAAAATGCACAGTTTTCTGGTTTAAGTAGGAATTTGACCAACTTTGATATAGATTTATTATTATACACAGCTGTTTTTCTGTTAAAAACACAGTGTGACTGGAGGAACGCACACAGCTAACTTTGAGGCAATACTTTTGTTTTAAAAAGAAAAAAAAAGCGGAAAATTGTGTGTCCCTGAAGCAGACCGACTGTCATTGTGTCTTGAAATACCCTCAAACTCCCATGATCAAATATTATACTGATAAATACTCAATAAAATGCAAGACAATGGAACTGCCCTCACTTTCCGATCTTATTGGACAGGCACGTATCACCAGAATGATTGACAGTTAGGAGGAACCAATAGTTTTGATGATCCACCCGGAAGTAGAAAATCCTCCTGTATACCTTTAAGTCTCACATCCAATGAAAAGTAGGCACCGTTTCAGAAGTTTAAACCTGGGACCAATATCTAAATTCACAACAACAGTGAAAATAATGTTGTTTTTCCCGTCTGCTTTTCCCGATAAATACTCAAAAATACGGATCCGTGCGTTTGCTTCGTTAGCTGAAAAGAGAGAGCACCTTTGGAATCGGTTTCAAAGTTTAAAAAAAACTCGCCACAAAACACCGTATTTACATTATCGGACAGGTCATCCCAGAGTTGTTTTTTTTGCTTTACATAATATTTTTTTAAAGTCTCCATTTCACCGTCCTCATGGTTTTTTACGTTCAAAAACATCACACACACAATCACAAAAAAAATAAAAACATTGAAATGCTTATTGTCCGCACTGTACGACTCAACAGGTCTCTTTGGTTTCATGGTTGACGTGGAAGTGGATTATCTCTGCAATGGAGAAGTGCTCACTGAAACCGATCAAACTGAAAATTCACTCTTTTTTAACAATATTTGGTAAAAACGGGTCGGTTTGTGGACAGACATGGGCAAAGTTGTAGCTGTATTATCTATGGTGGATTATTGTCTATCCATCCATTCATTTTCTTCCACTTTATCCGTTGCCGGGTCGCGGGGGCAGACTTCTCTCTCCACACACACACCTCCTCCAGCTCATCCAGGGGAATTTCCGAGGCGTTCCTAGACCAGCTGAGCGACATATAGTTCCTCCCCTGGTCTTCTATCAATTTTTTACAAAAGTTTTTTGTTTAAATGACACAATTCCAGGTCATTTAAACAGGGCACATGTCATATTCTGGTTGTCAACAGTTTGCATTTTGATGACTTTAAGAATTGGGATTATTTCACAGAAGCACTTTGTGAATCGACCTGAAAAAAGTGCCAACAAACTGACCACGCTATTGTCTACAGCAAATTGAAAGTCACAAGTTTTCAAAGTCTCTAAAACCGTTTTCGGACCGACCGTGTTTGGAGACTGTGGTGTGGTATGAAGAGATGGCAAGTTTTTCGTTGGTTTGTTGGTTCACAGGTGGGTTGGTGGGACGGTGGATCATCACTCTGAGCAGGTCTTTCGTTGGTTTGTTGGTTCACAGGTGGGTCGGTGGGTGGGTCGGTGGGTGGGTTGGTGGGTCGGTGGGTCGGTGGGTCGGTGGGTGGGAGGGTGGGTCTTCACCAGGCGCTGCTCTGGCTGCCGTGGCTGCTCACCGACTGGGGGTTACTGTAGCGTTTCTTCACGATCATACTGATGTAGGCCTTCATGAGTTTGGCGATGTCCATCACCTGCAAACAAGTAAGTCATGTTTATTTACACTGCACAGTTTACAGACCAAGTCCACCCAAAACACTTTACAATGTTCAGAGTTTAGTGTTTAGTATGTGTATATGTGTGTATGTGTGTCTGACCATGTGTGTGTGTGTGTGTGTGTATGTGTATCTGACCGTGTGTGTATGTGTATGTGTATGTGTATGTGTGTGTGTGCGTGTATGCGTATGTGTATGTGTATGTGTGTATGCGTATGTTTGTCAGACTGAGTGTGTGTCTGACCGTGTGTGTGTATGTGTGTGTGTCTGAGCATGTGTGTGGGTGTGTGTGTGTCTGAGCATGTGCATGTGTGTATGTATCTATGTGTGTGTGTATGTATATGTGTATGTATCTGAGCATGTGTATGTGTCTATGTGTGTGTGTCTGAGCATGTGTATGTGTCTATGTGTGTGTGTCTGAGCATGTGTATGTGTCTATGTATCTATGTGTGTATGTATCTGTGTGTGTGTGTGTCTGAGCATGTGTGTGCATGTGTGCATGTGTGTATGTGTGTGTGTGTGTGTGTGTGTCTGAGCATGTGTGTGCATGTGTGCATGTGTGCATGTGTGTGTGTGTGTGTGTGTGTGTCTGACCATGTGTGTGTCGAACAGCAGCTCTCGTCCTTCCACAGAGATCTTGTAGGACGTGGGCAGCGGCGCTCCAAACGACAGGATCTGTTCGTAGGGAAAGACCTGCAGCGGCCACGCCTCTCCACGTTTATAAACTGAGATGGCCTCTCTGCTCACGCCCAGCCACAGCTCCAGGGGGAAGGAGCCGTCTGCACACTGCCACACAACAGCAACACAACATCAGCAACACAACAGCAACACCACAAAATCAGCAATAAAACACGTCAACAACCTGACCATTTGCACACACAAAAAATCATGTTAAAAACTTAGAATAAAACATAACCTAGAAACTTCAACAAATTATTTGCTGCTAAAATACTAGTGGTCTATAAAATATTTACATTTTGTTATTGATTACATTTTAGAAATATGCAGCTACTTTCCTTGACTGAAAGTCTGTTGTTCATAAGATTTTCATTCCTAAACCTTGTGCTATCCTCAGGTCGAATTTACCCACTAGAGATTAAAAATAAAAAGATAACTAAAATAATTAGACCAGCCCTGGGTTTTTTAGACCCTTTTAGGCGCTAATTTACAGTATTTTTTTTCTACTTTTAATCTCAGTTGCCGGCCATTTTGACCCAAGGGTGAGAACCACTGCTTAGACATTAGACCAGGGGTCTTCAACCTGGAGCTCAGGAGCCACCAGTAGCTCGCCACCTCTTTCCAGGTAGCTCGCCAAAGGATTTAGAAATGAACAAATCCAAAAATATACTAACTATTTCACTTTGTGTTATTTATTATTTATTCATGTAAATGCACTTTGTCACTAGTAACAAATACAGTATACAATGATTAATATTGACTGCACCAAACATCAGACTTTTTAACAACAATATATCACCACATTTTCCCCAGAGCTTAAAGGAGTAGCTCTCTGCCTTTATCATCCCAGGAAAGTAGCTCTCTGGGTGAAAAAGAGTTGGGTTGGAGACTCCTGCATTAGAATACAGAGGCATTGAGGTGAGTCCAGTGGTGACAGCAGAGTGCAGAATCTCACCTCCACATTGAAGAGAGTAGATCCGTAGCCGGGCCACTCCTTGACCAGACCCATGTACTTGAGCATGGCCTGCTCCTGGTTCATTCCCTGGAGCTTGTTCCACTTGTCGTGGACGTTGGCCTTGAGCGCCGCCTCCTCGTCTCGGAGCCAGGCCTCCAGACTCTCCTCCTCCAGCCGCTGTTTACTGAGCGACCCGCTGCGGAGGCTCCTCCTCAGGCTGCCGTCCAGGAAGCTGCCCCTCTTCCTGTCCCCGCGCTCCAGAGTCCCGGAGCCGCTGCCGGAGCTCGTGCTGGTCCCGGGAGCAAAGGTCTTGGCCGAGTTGTGGACGCGAGCACGGAGGCGGGACATGGGGAAGAGAGGAGCCAGGTCTGCGGAGGGCGAGGGCGAGGCGTCACCGTGGAGATACTGCAGCCGGAGCGCAGCCAGGAACTGAAGGGTCTCCTCTGGGGCCGGGTACTGGCCTCGGATCACAGCCTCGTGAGCCTGAGAGGAACACACAGGCTTTTAATACACACACATAATGTTTATTTATTTATGCATTGAGGGGAGGCGACAGTGACTCTGGTCCATGAGCATTGGCCTTTGGGCCTGAAGGTCGTGGGTTCGAGCCCACCATAAGACCTACTTCACGACTCCCACTGATGACTGCTGTCGTTGTGTCCTTGAGCAAGACACTTAACCCCACTTTGCCTGAAGCCCTCTCTGAAAGATCTCAGCTCCTGTGCACTCAGCACCTGCAGGAGGATCAGTGAGGGGCTGGTGCTCTGTGTACTGGGTGCAGCTCTGACTGTCACCCCCCGACCCAGAAATGGATTAAGGGGAAGATGGATGGGTTAGGGTTAGGGATTTTATTGTATATTTATTTATCTTATTTTATTTATGTATTTTATTTCAGGCAAACACAGGAGCAGCACAGTTGCTCCTACAAACATACCTATAACAAAATCCCAAAAAACTATTTTGTCGAAAATGGAATGGGAAGACCAGGATTTACAGTATTTAATTCCACCCCATTTTTCCATTTACACATGAGCTTCTCGCTGCTGCAAACTTAAAAATCCATGAAAATATAAAACCCAAAAATGTCATTAAACGTCCTCTTTTACATCCACCTGGTTTGGGCCTAGTATATATAACACCAACAATCATTACAGATTATATTATTATATTTTCATGACAACAAAGCAAGAATTACAAAGTTTACAAATACAAGAAAAATAAGGATTGTGTTTGTCCAAAAAAAAAAAAAAAAAAAAAAATAGACTTTAGGAAACACATGAGCTCCTGGACCCTCGACTTTAGCCTCAGTTTTCGAGCCAGAGTCTGAAGGAAAACACGGAGAAGTGAAAGTACCTGCTCGAACATGAAGGCGAACTCCACACTGTCTTTGGGAACGTTGTCCGTGTCCAGGAAACAGTAGAGTTTAAAGTAGAACTTCCAGCCGGCGCCGCTCTGCTCTGACCCAGAGAGTCTGCACGAGACACACACAACATCAGACACACAACACAACAACAGTTTAAAAAAACAAGTATTAGAGAAGAAGAGAAAGGAGTAGTGTGTTAGTGTTTGTGTGAATAAAAGTGTGTGTCTGTGTGTGTAATTGTGTGTGTGTCGTTGTGAATAAGTGTGTGCATACGGTTAAGTCTGTGTGTCAGTATAAATAGGTAATTGTGTGTGTATGCATGTGTGTGTGTGTGTGTCAGTACAAAATAAGTGGGTGTATAAGTGTGTGTGTGGTTTGGTCTTGGTCTATAGAATACTGCTTCTTGTATTGTCTGAATGGCTTGGATGGAGGGGATTGAACTAACAAACTTTTTGCCCTAACAAATCCATTTCCAGACTTTGTACAGATATTTCTTGATTCATCATTTTATTCCATTTCTCTGTGAATAATTGTGTGTTTTTTCTTATTCAGTGAGCAGTGAGTGTAGAAACCTCCCCCGCTGAGGGACGATTAAAGCCGTATCTTTCTCGTACTTTTCAAACTTGGCGATGACGTCGGCGACCACGGCGCGGCTCTCGATGGCCTTCTCGGTGCCGCTGGAGCTGCAGTGTTCGAACAGAGCAAACATGTTCCTGCTGTCCTCCATGGCCAAACCGCGCAGAAGCTTCTCCACAACCTGGCAACGCACAAGTCAGATTCTTACTGTTCACAAAAGATTCACAAAGGTCAACAGAAGCAGCACCTGCAGCCCCTAAAACCAACAGCTCCCTCTGGTGGTAGCACAGGGAACAGCAGGACAAAATACGTATTCACCCTTCAGACTTGTTGCATCATGTATTTTCTACATTAGATATTGTAAGGTAGATTAGTAAGTTGGAATAAGAGTGTGTGTGTGTGTGCGTGTGTGTGCGTGTGTGAATTGTGTATGAATCTGGACCCGTCTCATTTGGAAGCATTTAGAGGAGGATGTACAAAGTATCAAGTTAATTTTTGTTTTTGATGCCTACACTGCAAAAAGTGATGAATAATAACTTAAAAATTGCTCAAATTTGGCAAAAATGTATCTTAATTTGAACACATTTTGAAACAAGATTATCAAATGGGAAAAAGCAAAATGATCTTGTTTTAAAAAGATACAGGAAATGTCTCCCTTGGAATGAGAAAATAAAGCAACAGTTTTTTAAATAATGGCTTTGTCTCTTTTGCGCATGTATGTGGTTTTACTGCAAATGACGTGAATCTGAATCTGCTCTGTCCTGGTGTGTGTGTGTGTGTGTGTGGGGGGGGGGTCTGTCTGCGGGGGTCACCTCTCCGGCTGTGGTGTGGGAGTTGATGGTGATCTTGCAGGAGCCTCCCCCGTGGCAGTGGACCGTGGTGGTCATCTCCTGTCGGGCCACGATGCAGCGGATCTCCTCCTGCGACGGGACGTTCTCTCGGCTGCGGGTCCTCCTCAGAGCCTCCAGGGCGAAGGCGCTGTACTTCTCCATCTCTGAGCCCGGGAACAACTCCCTGGTCCTGGAGAGTCACATGTTAGACTCTTTTATAGGAAAAGGTGGCCAGAGGTACTTTAAATCTGTTTTTACACTGGTATTTAATTCTAGATCTAATAATTATATTCTGCATTTCCAATCAAAAAAAGCTTCAATCAAAATCTGTTAAGACCTTAATTTAAAATGAAATATTTTTTTTGTGACTGTATGACTCTGAGGCAGCTCTAATAATAATAATATAATAATAATAAAACAAATAAAAATAATAGTAATAATATTAATGATAATGATAAGCTTTTTTGTAAACTCAAAGAATTAAGTACTAAATCTTGGCGATTAGCAAAATAAAGTAGGTATAAAGTCTATGTTTGATTTGTGTTTGTTCTGTAACTAATAAGATATATATAAAAAAAATTTATAAATCTAAAAATGAATTTAAAAATTATTTAAAAATGATGTAAAACACATTTTAAATTAAATCTAAAAATAAACCTTAAAAAATAAATAAAAATAAATACATAAAATCAAAAAACACTGGCGCCCCTCACCTCTTGAGATGGAACTTGAGGTACCGCAGGACGCTCCGTGACGGGACGAAGGTGCAGGACATGCAGGCGAGCAGCTTCCAGGCGCTGAGGTGGGCGGGGCTTGCGGGTTGAGGCGGCCGCAGCGTCTGTTTGATGAGCTGACAGTAGAGCTCGTCCCGGAGGCTCCTCAACTCCTGTCCCGTCCGCAGCAGCCCCTGGAGCAGAGACACGGGGTCCGAGGAGGATTTCTCCAGCTGCTGCAGCCACGAGAACGCCTTCAGGGCCTCCTCCTGCAGCGTGGAGGAGGTGTCGCCGCGGCAACCTGAGAACGAGAGAGAGAGAAGGAGAGGGTGAGATTTAACACTGGCTTTATGGGACATATTTAGAAACAAAAATGGGTGTTTGCATGTTCTCCCTGTGTCTGCTTCAGTTTCTTTGACAATCAAATATTTAATTTTTACATTAATTTTATTTACCAGACCAAAGAGAGAGACCAGAGAGAGAGACCAGAGAGAGAGAGAGAGAGACAGAAAGAGGGGAGAGAGCAGTGAGCAGAGAGAGAGCAGAGAATGAGACCAGAGAGAGCAGATAGAAAGAGAGAAGGGAGTGAGCAGAGAGAGAAACCAGAGAGAGACCAGAGAGAAAGCAGAGAGTGAGACCAGAAAGACCAGAGAGAGAGACCAGAGATAGAAACCAGAGCGAGACCAGGGAGAGAGCAGGAAGCGAGGGCAGAGAGAGACCAGAGAGAGACCAGAGAGAGACCAGAGAGAGACCAGAAAGAGACCAGAGAGAGAACCAGAGAGAGAACCAGAGAGAGACCAGAGAGAGACCAGAGAGAGACCAGAGAGAGACCAGAAAGAGACCAGAGAGAGACCAGAGAGAGACCAGAGAGAGACCAGAAAGAGACCAGAGAGAGACCAGAGAGAGACCAGAGAGAGACCAGAGAGAGACCAGAGAGAGACCAGAGAGAGAAAGACCAGAGAGAGAGACCAGAGAGAGAGAGACCAGAAAGAGACCAGAGAGAAAAAGACCAGAGAGAAAGACCAGAGAGAGAGACCAGAGAGAGACAAACAAAGGCATCACCTGTATCATGTCACATTTTGAAGTTGAAACACAGAAATAAACATATTTGAGCCACGTTTGAGTCCCAGCTCGACACTGCGGCTGTAAAATGTTAATGTTATAATGAACCGCCATAGACCTGAGAGGTGGATGTCTCCGTAGGGCAGGGGCAGCAGCGGCGTGTGCAGCGGGTGGTGGCTGTAGCGGAGGATGGGGTTTCTCTTGTAGATCTGCTCCACCAGCTCCGAGTTCAGGCAGTTCTCCTTGATGTCCTGGATGAGCTGCTGCGTGGGCGTGTCGATGGGCGCCTTGGAGTCGATGACGTTCTGGACCGAGTTGGCCCAGCGTGTGGCCTCGTTCAGCAGCTTGGAGTAGAGGCGATAGGAGTGCTTACGGCCGTACACGATCATGTTCCAGTAACCTGCAAGAAGAGACCGGAAGTTAAGTTGTTACTTTCTAATGCAGGAAGGTCTAACACGGAAAAAAGTGATAAAATATGAAGTAATAGTTGCTTGAATCTAATGTTTTTTTTATTTAATTTGAGCACATTCCGACTGTCTTAAAACCAGATTTTCCAATTCTTTCACAAACTGTTGCTTTATTTTCTCATTCCAAGGGAGACATTTCTTGTATATTTTAAAAACCAAATCTTTTCTCTTTGTCCCATTGGCAAATCTTGTTTTATGGCAGTCAACATTTCAAATCTTTAAAAAGTAAAATGCTTAAATTAAGATACATTTTGCCAAACGGGATCAACTTTTGACTTATTTTTCTTGACTTTTTGCAGTGTAAGGACAGTGGTGATGATCCAGGACGCTCAAAACATTTATGGAAATTGATCTCTGCCAATGTTTTTTTAATCATTGCATTTATTGAGTTTTAACTGTTCAAAGTATCAAGTGAAAACCATGCTATCTTCCTGTAACTCCCTATGCAACCACCAGAGGGAGGGGTTCAAAAGAAAATTGTCACATATATTTTTTAACCTGAGAAATTGGCCAACAACAAATTAAGGGGCAGTACTTGGTTTGATGTGAGCGTGATACTACAACAGCTTCTAGACAGAGGGGGGCGGAGTTACATATTTGTACCGGAAGTTCCTTTAATTAGCGCGGGTGGATCAAAAAAAAAAAAAACCACCAGCTCCGTTTTTGTCGAGGAACAATATACTAAGATGGTTAAAAGAGAAAAGGTATGTTTGCATAATATGTCTCTTTTATCATACATGTCTCTGAGGTTGCTACGGTGGTTGCTATGGTGGATCTAGGGCGTTGCTATGGCGTGTTCTCTCACCAGTCTCCTTGAAGACCTTCTCGTCAGGTTGGACCACGGAGCAGAGGCTGTTGAGGACCAGCGTTCCCAGCTTCATGGCGTTCCGCTCGGAGCTCTTGTAGTAGTCCAGGGAATTGTGGGTAAGCAGGAACCAGCGCTTCTTCAGCTTCAGCGAGGCCTTGCTGCTGTTCTTCATCTCTTTGTGCAGCCAGCCTGAGTCAGACGAAAAGTGTTTTATGCTCGCCTCGAGTAAGAATACAGTACATAAAGTGATAGAAATGTAAAAGGTTTTGAAGTGGCTTAAAGTATTTGCTATGGCAGATCTATAGTTATTTATTTTAAGTAACAAAGCACAATAAATGTACTGTTAAAGTGGCAATATGTAAGATTTTTATGTCAAGTCCTCATTAAAGGGCCCTAATCTGTCAAAAGGCGTTAATAAACAATGTTCTTTTCCAATAATTCTTTAACTGATAACAGCAGTTCAGAGATATTAGAATAATACGTTTTACAGCCTCTACATCTTGTTATTGTTTTCATTTCGATGTCCCGCCCTCCACCATTATACCCATCAGAAAGTCTGTGATCCGTGCGCCAGAACTCACCGCGTCAAGCTAATCTAAGTATTTCTATCTTTGTGAAGAAGGTGTTGTTTAGATATTTGTTGTTGATAAAACTCTATTCAGATATTATGGTCTCAGCTGGATTCGTCTGCATATCTGGCAACCGGAGTCAGGGAGAATGGGAGAGGCTGCAGTACCACTTTTGGCCAGATTTCTTTACATACTGCTCCTTTAACACTGGTGAAGAGAAAAGCCTGTGTGTGTGTGTGTGTGTGTGTGTGTTTGTGTACCTCTGATGACAAACTCCTGTCCCTGTACTCGTGTGTCGCCCTTTGACCTCTGCAGCAGCGTGATCCAGTGGTGCATCTCCTCCGGTGTGTCAGCGTTACAGTGCAGCACGCGGTTCGCTGTGATCATCACGAACGAGTTGGGCCTAAAACACAACTTAGAATCAGTACGTTCAGATGCGGAAGCTTTGTCCTTCAGCCCGACCCTCGCCAGACCCTTGTAGTTCCACCATGCTCCACCAGAGGCGTCTGGTGGAGCATGGTGGAACGTCGGGTTTGCACCGCTTTCTCGTGCGTGTCTCAGGCGGCAGCGAAAGCAATCCAAGATGTCCGAGAATTTTTATAAAAGTTTAAATACGAACATAACACGGATGTCACTTTTTATGTAGGGCCGGGACTTTAACGTGTTAATTACGATTAATAAACGCCACAAAAATTGTGGCGCATGTGTTTTTTCCACCGCAGAACGTTACTCACTGATTGAGTTTCAGACGGACCGATTATACTGGAGCACCAACTCCAGCTCCGTGACTTTTCTTGTTCAAAAGTACATTATAACATAAGCATAGAAAAACTCACCAACGAGTGAGTGAGTGAGTTAGAGACAGGAAAGAGCGCTGTGTATGGAGCTATGGACTCTATGTGTGAGGAGGAGGAGCGAGCGACTCCTGTGTGCGGAGGCCAAGGAGGAGGTGGTGTGTGAGTTCACACGTTTTAGTTCAAATGCACACATCAAAAACGTATTATAAGCTTTAGTGCTCACTTCGAGTGCAGTGGATTTTGGGCTTAAGAAGTGTATGTTGTGGACAGAGCGTGTGAAGGAGGAGGAGGAGGTCAGAGTGTGTGGAGGAGGAGGAGGAGGTCAGAGTGTGTGGAGGAGGAGGAGGAGGTCAGAGTGTGTGGAGGAGGAGGAGGAGGAGGTCAGAGTGTGTGGAGGAGGAGGAGGAGGTCAGCGTGTGTGGAGGAGGAGGAGGAGGAGGTCAGAGTGTGAGGAGGAGGAGGTCAGAGTGTGTGGAGGAGGAGGAGGAGGAGGTCAGAGTGTGAGGAGGAGGAGGAGGAGGTCAGAGTGTGTGGAGGAGGAGGAGGAGGAGGTCAGAGTGTGTGGAGGAGGAGGAGGAGGAGGTCAGAGTGTGAGGAGGAGGAGGAGGAGGTCAGAGTGTGTGGAGGAGGAGGAGGAGGAGGTCAGAGTGTGAGGAGGAGGAGGAGGAGGTCAGAGTGTGTGGAGGAGGAGGAGGAGGTCAGAGTGTGTGGAGGAGGAGGAGGAGGTCAGAGTGTGAGGAGGCGATGACAGAAAGTCTGTCTGATCATCCACAATGACCATGTGTTGCTTAAGTTTATGTATTCAGTCATTATTCAATGGTAAACCAAAAATCCATGTGAAAAAATATCACTTATTTTCTCAGGACAAATATTTATATGCAATTAAAATGCGATTAATCGCGATTAATTAATCGCAGCGCCTCTAATTAAATAGATTCATTTTTTTAATCGAGTCCCATGCAATATGAGGTGAGATGTTGATGGTTCTATGTTGCAACACTTCCTGTTTACAACACTACGCAGCAGGGTTGCCAGGTTGGCTGGTTTCCCGCATACTTTTTTCCTAGCGACTTGTAGGTAATATATAATAGTGCAAATTCATATAATTTGGTGATGAATCTTTCCAACCAATAGAATTTTTCACACCAATCGATACAGGAAAGAGTGCCAGATTATGAGCGTTTTGATCAGTTTGTGAAAAAGATTTATGGCCGGAATATTATAAACATAAAGTACTCTCAGTCTCACCTCTCGGGGTTGTCCGAGGCACACACAGAGTCGATCATACCCACGTCCAAAGTGCCCTGAGCGCAGACAAGAACAAACAGAGGGTGAGTTCTCGTCTTAAAAGTCGAACACAATCATGACAAAGCGACACACGTAGAGATCGTACCACTGCGTTCTGGGGGTTGGCCTGTTCGTCGTGCATCTCCCGGATCTCCTGCTCTGTGGAGCCGTGCACCTGGGTCAGGACGCTGAACCATTGGCTGTGGAGACGAAGGAAAAGTTTACTGAATGTGTGTGAACAGAGTAGAGATCGACCAACATGGTTCTCCATTGCCAATTTGTTTCAATGTTGGACTGGCTGCACTGCAAAAAGTGCTGAAAAATAAGTGAGAAATTGCTCAAATTTGACAAAATGTATTCTAATTTGAGTGCATTTTGACTGCCTTAAAACAAGATTGGCATAAATATAGCAACAGTTCTTGAAATCAGACTAAATGACAAACAATTTCATTTTAAGACAGTCAGAATGATCTCAAATGAAGATTAAAAACCACTCGATTCCAGCAACTATTACCTCATATTTGATCATTCTTTGCAGCGTGATGGCTGAATAAACTAATATTTTATTTCAAACTCGCATGCGGTTACCTGGCATCTTCAGCGGACTCTGCGATCAGCTGGAACGTTCTCTCTGCGGTGACGATGTTGAGGCCGTTCTCCTTCCCAGTGTTGTCAATGATCTCCCTGAAGAGAAAAGACGAATAAATACAAGAAAACAAAAGAGAAACTTCATACATTGTTATTCATAATGTCTAAATCCTTTGGGGAAATACTTGGAAGCTACTGGTTACTGGTTGCTCCCGGCTACAGATTGGGGACCCACAATTTGGATTAACTCAAGCACCATATAAAAGACAATCAGTTCTGCACTCATTTTAACTAACTGTGTTTTGTATAATTATTATTGTGTGACCAACTTCGGGATTACGGATGTAAATTAGCTGTTTTGCTATAATCTGGCACATTCACAATTTGTGTACAACTTGTATATGATTGTTCATTAATGTGTGTTGCATCTAAAAATAATTTCTTGGGTATGAAACTACGGGAACACTGTAAAAATACCAGCAATAACCAACATCCCAGACCTCTGCATATTTAGTCCTTTTTCTCAAACCGTTAAACCAGGGGTCTCCAATTTGTAGCTCGCCAGCCCCTCTCAGGTAGCTCCCCAAAGGATTTAGAGTTTAACACATGATCCTGAATTAATATATTTTACATGTAGGGTTAGATTTTTATTATGACTGCATAAAAGTTGTAGCTCTCTGCTTCTTCTGTTGTATAAAAGTAGCTCTCTGAAAAAGGTTGGAGACTTCTGCGTATTTGATCTCCAGCAGCAGAGATTGTGTCGAGTCTCACTTATCACGGTGGCTGAGTGGATAGCACTCTCGCCTCTCAGCAAGAAGGTCCTGGGTTCGAATCCCGGTTGGACCAGGGCCTTTCTGAGTGGAGTTTTCATGTTCTCCCCGTGTCTGCGTAGGTTTCCTCCGGGTGCTCCGGTTTCCCCTACCACTAAAAATATGTACAATAGGTCTGGCATGTGCCTCCTGTACTGGCACCCCCACTCCCAAAAATCACAATTGTAAACCGCTTTGAGACTCCGATGTGCAGTGAAAAGGCGGTATATAAATAAAGATTACATAGATTACATAAAAGATTACATACTTGGCTTCCCGGATGTCCAGCACGCCCTTCATCTTGTCCTCTCCGTCGTTCTCGAAGTACATGAGTTTGCTGTGTCTCAGGACAAACCAGCGGCGTTTCCAGTTGCGGCGCGAGAGTGTGGAGGAGCCGCCGCCCTTCTTATGCAGCCAGCCCTGCTTCAGAGCCTCCTGCTTGGACCGGAACCAGAGGAACGTCTCGTCTTTGAGCACGCACCAGCGACGCTTCCATGTGTTCATCAGCCCGCCTGCACACAGACGCACAGAAGCATCAGACTCATGTTGTTTGCATGTCATATGTATGTACTGTATGTTGGATTGTGTAGTGCTGTGATACCTTTGATGAAGAGGAAGCTGTGGAAGTACGGCAGCGTGACACAGCTGTACACAGAGTCTCTCCTGTACGACCCCTCATCGTCTGTGTCCAGTCGGTCCTGGTCGTCCTCGCTGTCCTCGAACTGAAGACACAAACATTATATTAGACCTTTGACAATAACGCTCTACTATCAACACACTAACATTACAGCTGGGACCAAGCTTTCAAACTGACTCCGATATTTTCTTGGTAGTAATAGTTTCAAATATTATCCGAGTTTGGTTATTTTACTTCCTGGTTGTAGACAATATTTTTTTGAGTGAATAAAAATAATGTCAAATGCCAAAAGTATGACTTGTCCTTCTTCATCTGACGCACAGTCACTTAAAGACTCCTCATTTTTACCCAACATGTTCAGATCCCTGTATGCACTGATTCCTCCATGGACAGAACATGTACAGATGTAAACATACAACTATATATTTCTTGCACTAGAATATACGGCATTTATACATACTTCTGAGATAATATTTTATTTTATTTAGTATAGATGAATTGCTCATTTATCGTGTGCTGTCTGCTCCTCATTCCAACCGTTCTGTTACTGGCGCTGCAACACTGACATTTCCCCACTGAGGGAAGATAAAAAGGATCTCTCCAACAAGTGCGGCGGTCTTTAGGCAACACTCACCGAAGACTGAGCGCCCTCTGATCCAAAGCGATAGGCTCCGGAGCTGTTGTAGGTTCCCAGCGAGCCCCTGTAGTCCGGCGACCACTGCCCGCTGCGGGACGTGGACAGGGCCGTGCTGCCGCTGGACACGATGGCGCCCTCGTCGTAGTCGTCACGGTCATAGTCCGAGTCCTCGTCGGGAGGGATCAGCTCCACCATGTCGTCTGAAGGGGCTTCTGATGAGGGCACAGGAGCGCTGGGGCCGGGCAGCGTGCCGTCGTTAGCGTACGGGTCCTCCTCCGAAGAGTCGTCGCTGGTGCGGATGCCGCTGGTGCGCTGGCCGTCCGAGTGGCCGTGCTCGCTGGGGTTGGGGGAGTCTTTGAAGCCGTCATCGTCGGCTCCGAAACCCTCGTCGACCTCCTCCTCATCTGCAGCGAGAAGGGAAGGATTCGGTTTATTTGACAATTGCAGTAAAATCACATTGAAAACATGTGCAAATGTGAAGAAAACGTCTGTTTGTATCACAGCACACAACAGGAGAACACAAGGACCTTCTTCCTTCTATTTTGTTTTAGAATGTGAAAATATATAAATATAAGTAGAAAACATGGCTACAGGTGAAATGCTATCCACTTGCAACTCCTCATGCCACCACCAGAGGGAAGAGTAGAATTTAATAATAATAATAACGCATAGGTTTTATATAAAGCATTTGTTTGGACACTCAAAGACACTTCACGTGTCATTATTATTTCTCTCTGTAGACAGTGATGTTAAACTACTACTGTAGCCACAGCTGCCGTGGGGAACACTGCCAATATGTGCCATTGGCCGGTCTGACCACCACCAACCATTCACACACACACCAGACTCATTCTCAGCAATGCAGTTTGGCACTTTACAGCCGCAGCTGCCCCACTGTGGGACCTGGTGCCACCACAGCTTCAGAGGTCTGATGCTATCTGGCTTTCACATTCATGTATGGCATGATGTCATACAGGTACAATGACTGTATACTATGGTACTAGGAGTTCCAGATACTAGGATCATACCAAGGATGTACTAAGTACATACTAACAGTGTTGAACAAGGTTAAAAGCTAAAGATTGTCCATTGTCCACAACAGGTCTGTGTGTTTGACCTGACAGGTCTGTACCTCTGCTCTGGTCCTCTGTGTCCTTGTCCTCTGGCGGCAGAGTGCTCTCGATGTTCCTCACGCACTCGTCGATCTCGTGGAAGTTGAGCGAGTCCAAGAAGTGCTGCGCAGCCCGACACGCCTCGTCCTCCAGCCGCTGCAGCTCCTGGTCCCTGAGGCGCTGGAGCCGGTGGAGGGAGGCCTCGGTCAGGGACAGCTCCTGACGCTCCTTCTGCCTCTGCAGGCTCTGGATCTCACGCTCCAACCTCAGGATCTCCTCCACCTGAGAGGCCTCGCTGCTGGCCCGCTCCTCAGAGGGAGCGGAGGCCTGGTCCTCTGAGGGGGAGGCCTGTTCTTCCGAGGGGGGAGGCGGGAGGAGGTCCTTGTGGCTCTCTGGGGCGGATGGAAGGGCTTCTGACGGAGAGGCGAGATATTCGTGTAGAGCTGCTTCTTCAGCCTAAAAACAAATACTTTTACATTTTTCTGAAAGTACTCTACAACAACTATAATAATTGTAATCCATAAACACACTACGACGTCCTGTGAAGAGGTTTTGAAACTCTAAATGAGCAGATTACTGTGATCGTGAATCTCATGTTTCACAATACATTGTTAAAAATGTTTTTGTGAGAGCCACAGTACGACACCGGGACAGGACGCTGCACAGACGCAGTGATCTGAGAACCGTACCTCTGTGACGAGCCGCTCGGCCTCCAGCTCCTGCCGCTCTCTGAAAACACAAACACACATCCTCAGCGTCACCACAACAGCACAGTTGCACACACAGTCCACATAGATCAACTACATAAGCACAAACAACATCCATCATCTGGAAGAGCTGCGGCCATGATCCAATAAACCTCCATCACTACATCATGTCTCTGTAAATATTTATATATATATATATATATTTATAGACACGTCTGACTGGTCCTGCCTGGTTTAATCATCGATCACTTTTAGAAATATACCTTTATCATGTTTTAGTAAAAGCACCCGTAGAGCGCAGACCTCTGCCAGGAGGAACATTTAAATTCCTTAACATTCCTAGATCCACAAAGTGACCTGGATCAATCCCAAAATAGAATCTTCTGTACTTTTTCCCCCATTTCTGAAGTTTAATGTGAATAAGTCCATCTTGAAAATGTACTATTGTAAAACGTAATTTCTGCTTCAGCTTCAGCCGTCTTGAACCAGAAAAGAAAAAAACTACTATTGACTTGGATTTTTTCTCCTCAGCGGATCTTGTGGAGGTATAGTGTCTTAAGAGCCACTTGTAATCTTTGGCTTTTAACACCACATGAGTTGCGTGGTCCTCTGCGTTTTTATTTCTAAAAATCAAAACAAGGAATAAAACCAGGATTTCTATCTTTGTGAAAAAGGTGTTGGTTTTAGATTTGTTGTTGACAAAACTCTTTATTCAGATATTATGGTCCCAGCTCGATTCGTCTGCATATCTGGCAACCTGAGTCAGAGAGAGGCTGCAGTACCACTTTTGGCCAGATTTTTTACATACTGCTCCTTTATAAAAACAAAACTAATTCAATTTGAGGTTTAAATGCAATGGAGCGCCCGTCACTGACCTTTGTACTAAGTCAAATATTACCCAGGATTTTTTTTTACTTTCCACCACTTCTTAAAGTCACTAGTCTTCCTACCGACACATCCTACACACCCAATCCCAGCTCAACCGCCCAGACAGACACAAATACTGCACCAAACTTTCTGGTTCTCTCCGAGTTTCTCCTCACCTCTCCAGCCTGTCCAGCTCCTCAGTCCTGCGTCTCTCTTCCTCCTCCACTTTCTTCTTCTCCTCTCGCAGTAGACCCACAGCTCTGCGCGCCCTGACTCCGCGGAGGCGTTTCTGCAGCGTCAGGGTGGCCCAGCGCAGCAGCAGGTAGCGCCTCCTCCAGTAGAAGGCGCGGTAGTTCTTCTGGATGACCACGATGCACTGCAGGAGGCGCCGGTACTGCTTCCTGTCCACACACCCACCACAAAGCACGTCTCAGTCCGACTCTTGAAATCTGATTGGTCGCACGTTTATTTTTATCCATTCACTCACTCATTTACATTCAGACCTATTGTGCATGTTTTTAGTGGTAGGGGAAACCGGAGCACCTGGAGGAAACCTACGCAGACACGGGGAGAACATGCAAACTCCAATAGTGCTGTAAAAGTGATGTAGTAGAAACATTTAGATTATTGTCTTAAATAATAAATAAGTAAATGATAAAGATATTTTCATCTACATTTGCCAAGCACTATGGGAAATCCGTACCAGGGTTCATTCCTCAGTTTGGAGCTGGACTCATTTTGCTCGTAGAAATACACAGAAATGATATAAAACTCATATTGAATAATTTGTGATTTGGTCAAAAATACCTTCATGATTAAGTCGCAGATACAATGAAGGATAAAAAAAATTCGAAAAAAGTTTCATTCTTGGTTTCGAGCACAAACGTTTACTTTCTTAATGTTAAAGAATGAGAAGATCCACAGTTTGAAATATTAATTATGATTATCCAAGAGCTAATGTGCGTAAAGTAGTAGTAGTAGTAGTAGTAATCTTTATTTATATACCGCCTTTTCACTGCACATCGGAGTCTCAAAGCGGTTTACAATTGTGATTTTTTGGGAGTGGGGGTGCCAGTACAGGAGGCACATGCCAGACCTATTGTACATATTTTTAGTGGTAGGGGAAACCGGAGCACCCGGAGGAAACCTACGCAGACACAGGGAGAACATGCAAACTCCACTCAGAAAGGCCCTGGTCCAACCGGGATTCGAACCCAGGACCTTCTTGCTGAGAGGCGAGAGTGCTATCCACTCAGCCACCGTGCCGCCCGTAAAAAAGTAAAACAGCATGTGCATTTTTAGTGGTTTAAGTCTATCTCTTGGTGTGCATAGATCGGACGTTCATATATTTTGCACACACACAAACACAGGTGATAACTACACCCCTTCACCCAGACTCGACCTCATGCAGCCCCCACACAAAGCGACGTTTAGACCCCTGTCCTGTGACGTACCTGGCCATATACCCCATGACGTGAGCCTGGATGACCATCGCAGCCTTGAGAACCTCCACCTCCCGCTGCTTCTCCAGACGATGCTCCAGGGACTCGCGCAGAAACACCTACAGACAGACACACGTAAGCAAGTCATATTTATTTATATAGCGCCTTTCACAGACCAGAGTCACAAAGCGGTTTACAACTGTGGGCATTTGTCTCTCTCAAGCAGAGACGGGAGCGGGGCCATTACAGGAGACGCATGCCAGACCTATTGTACATGTTTTTAGTGGTAGGGGGAACCAGAGTACCCAGAGAAAACCTTTGCAGACACGGGGAGAACATGCAAACTCCACTCAGAAAGGCCCTGTAACGACCGGGATGCGAACACCCAGGACCTTCTTGCAGAGAAGCGAGTGTGCTAATCTACTTATTTAGATTCAGATTCATTTATTTTCCATTTGCAGTAAAACCACATTGGAATACATTTGCAAAAGAAGTTCCCAGTGTGCACCAGACAAGTACATGAACAAAACAAGGTTAAAAGTACAGAAAGAAAACAGACAAAACAGTAAACAATTGACACTGCGAGATCGATCGACTAAAACCGTTTCAACACAAAGGCAAGATCATTTAAAGCACTCTATATTTAAACTAAAATCCCAATAGATCCATGCTAAAAATCCCATTCTATAACTGTGCTGTTGAGAAAGAAGAATCACAATCATTAACACAAAGTAGAAGGAAAAAAAACAAATGTATTTCAAGTGTAGGGTTGTTTTGGCAAAATATCAAAAATATGGCAGCTTTTAAATACAGTTTCAAATAGTAAAAGTAAAAATTCTTAGTTTTGTGATCCTGGACTTGTATAATGTGCGTGTTTGCGTGTGTTTTTTGTCGCTTAAAAAAATGCTTGAAATGTATGTCTAAAGTATGTACACATTTTAGAATTGAATTGATTTAATAGCTTATTATGGATTTATTTTGCCCTTGTTCCGGTGTTGTATGTCTTTCTCTCTGCTTTTTTGTGTGTGTATCTTGTGTGCATTATAACTTGTATGTGACTGTGAAAATGAATTCCCCTCATGAGACAATAAAGGTCTATCTATCTAATATTTCTTTAAAAAAATAGCAATTTTCTTCTTCCCACTTTTTCAACACCAGCGCAGTTCTCAAACTCGACCCAGGTTTGTACAAATACATTTCCCAATATTCAATGACTTGCTCAGAATTCCCATGACTCGACAATTCCCGACAAAAAGGACTTCTCCGACATCACCGCAGTCTGTCCTGGACGTAGTGTGTGTCACTTCTGCACAATCGCACATAACCCTTGTGTAGCATTAGCATCTCAATACCCAGCGCTCTTATAATCCTATAGATCTGTGATTGATGTTAATTTGCCCTTCGGATCCTCGCACCGGGCCCCTGAGCTTACACCACTTCCACAAAATGAAAACTTGTGTCCGTGAAAAGCACAATAGGACATGTGCCGGGAGGAGGAAGGGGCCAGCGCTGTGTAAATCTGTCAACGGGGACAAAAGTGTGAAGAAAGTGGAGCCAGAGCTCAGAGGGGCCGCAATCGATTAGTAACAGTCAGAACCAAGCACTGTAGGGACGTAGAGGCGGGACTTCAGAGGTGAAAAGTATCTCTATACCAGGGATGGGTAAGTATTTTAACCTGGGAGCCACATATGATGATGCCTTCTGTTCATTTTTTATTATTATATAGTTTCTACCACAATTTTAGTTCCCCCTGTGCTCTTAAATGCATCACCGCCTCATGTCTCATTCTAGTCCGATTGACGTTTACAAGCAGCTAGAACCGGTGCGGACCAACTCCTCAGAATGGACTGGTTTTTCACTCCAAGGTTTTTTTAATCAATCGAATAACATTAGAAAAAGGTGGAGGATTTTGACTGTGTTTTACTGGTGCTTTGCAAACAGACACAGTGACTCCAGAAGGACATTTGCCGTTAAAGAAGCTATACCCGTTTTTTTAATGAGTTCATAAAAAGGCTATTACTACATACAAGTTTTATTATAATCCGTAATTTAATTGAAAACTTGAGCTCATTGATTGTGTATGAATTCAGGCTGTAAAAAGTGCTGAGTAGAGACTTAGCGTGACGCCCGCTCTCCTCCAATCACAGAACGAGGCTGCGTCCTCTAGCCTCTACAGCGCTGCTAAACACAGTAGCATGTTAGCATAAGTGGCTATAACTCCTCTGGCTGTAACTGCAGACACAGAAAAACAGCCCAAACCACACAACAGTGAGGAACAGAAGAGGAAACTAAAGCAAAACATGATCAAAGAAGTTATCAAGCCCTGAACATAGCTAGCTTACATCGTATCCTCTGGAGAGACCGGCGGGCCGGCCTCGGACTAACTTTGGACGCTAAACTAGCGGTAATCTTTCAGCTATATATTTTGTTAGCAGTGCGTTGCTTTTGTACCATTTCATCAGTGATTGTTGTACAGCTTAAGTTGCCCTAATGCTAATGTTAGCATATGTATCAGATTGCAAATAAAACTAGATGACTCAGAGGGATGAGAGCGTAGGGGAAATGAGAAGCCTGTGAGCGAGTTGAAACTTGCAGAAACGGGTATAGCTCCTTTAATGTCATATACATAAATCATAAAAAAGGGAACGGTTTTCAAAACACAACCACGATAAACATACCCAATTAAATCAGTCATTTTCATAATTGAGTTTGCAAATTTTCCCAGAAACAGACACAATACAAACGTCTTAAGGTCTAGAAATTTAAATAAATATTTAAAATCTGAAACCAACCAAATAAAACTATAAATACATGTTATAATCCGTTCATTTTCTTCCAGTTTCTTCCCAGAGGATGAAGCCGTCTTCAACCACTGGCCCATTATGATAAATTATTGTATGCACATTATTGATTATAAATTACTACTACAGTCACAAACACAAATACAGTGTTAAGCATATTTGATATAATAAGCAAAGCCATGTTAAATAGTGCGACAGGGAATAGGGAATAGGGAGCGACAGTAGCTCAGTTGGTAGAGCATTGGCCTTAAGCCCAGACGGTCGTGGGTTCAATTCCCACCTCTGCACCTTCTCCACCGACTCCCACTGATGACTGCTGCCGTTGTGTCCTTGGGCAAGACACTTAACCCCACTTTGCCCAAAAAGCCCCCACTGAAAGATCAAGGCTATGCTCACACTCAGAGAGCAGCCGTCCTCCTGTGGACTCACCACCTGCAGAGGGTCAGTGAGGGGCTGGTGCTATGAGACTTGGGTGGCATCTCTGACTGCCACCCCCCTGACCCAGAAATGGATTAAAGGGTAGAAAATGGATGGATGGATGGATGGATGTTAAATAGTGTACGTGGTGATGTCATGTGCCTGCGTGCACTAGTTTGTTATTGTGTGCATGCACAATAAAATATAGTGCCGTGAGTTCGTGCACCAGAGTGATGATGGCGTCTTGTTTTCTCCCGTGAATAGAAAGTGCTAACTGACCACATTGGTGACTGGTAAAGCGTTAGACTGCTGCAGAAATGGCAAACGCTACATACAAACTTTTTGCTTCATTAACTTGATGAATAACCTCTTCACTAAGTCTATACCAACCAGATTAGGTTCATTTGTGTTCTATTCTGTCTAATGAGCAGAGGGTTTGAGCACAAAACAACAACAGCACCTTGAGATAATTCCCACTTAACAAAAAACATCTTGAAATTTCCAAAAGAGAAACACCATTTTGCATACGGATCCACCGCAATCTAACAGATGGAGGAGCAGACGGCCCCAAACCAGCATCGATCCTGCCAGCTTTAGTGGCTCCAATTCAACCATAAAGAGCAAAAAACCGGTTGGATACTGGAATATGATTTGAGTGCACGAACCGGGAACTAAATATAGAAGCAATTTCGGTCTCTTACTGTTGGGTCTAGTGGTTTGAAAGCCACTTATTGCATGCATTCAGCCGCAGATACAGGTCCGTATGCTGATGCCCTACATATATTGTCATCCATCACAAAGACTGGAGGCGGCAGATCTAATAAGTGCTGTGCTCCCGGGGTCTTCAAGCTTCAATTTCCCCGGAGTCCACGCACGACAGCCGGTTTCATATATGAAGGGAGGTCAGAGAGAGTGTTTTGTTTTGATGTTATGGAGGTGCAGTGGGGAGGGGTGGATCTGCCTGCTCTGGCCTGATCGACTCTGACACCAGTGGGTTCATAATTATTCATTTAGTAGATTGCAAATTGATGTAAACAGAGATTTCTCCACTGTGGGATGAATAAAGGATCTACTAATCGTAATCTTAAATCTCAATATTTTTTTAAAGCAGTGACAGCTCAACACACTCACAAGAATCTTAAAGGTGTATAAGAGGATTTTCCCAAATGTCACCACTTTTTAACCAAAACTCTCTGGTCTTATTTGACGAGCACGTATCACCAGCATGATTGACATTCAGGAGGACCAATAGTCTTGATGATCGACACAGAAGAAGAAAATCCTTCTATATACCTGCGGAGAAAACATAGGCAGGCTCGGGGAGAACATGCAAACACCATTCAGGAAGACCCCGATTGGGATTCGAACCCAGGATCTGTCCATTCAGCCACTGTGCTGCCCCTCTATTGTCTTTCACTTATTCTCATACCATTTTCCCCACTAAAATTAGCTTTATTTTAATTACCGTAGTCAAAGCAATGGCAGGTTTCTCACCCATCATCTGTACTTCTTAGCGCAGATATTAGCGATGGAATAATATTTCAACACAGAAGCATTTATATTTGAACAGACTTGAAGCGTTACCTTTGTTTTCCCGAGCTGCCACTCTGCTCCGCTGCTGTCGTACAGGTGCAGCAGCTGCTCACAGAGCTCCCTGTGGTCGAGCTGCGGCGAGTTCTGCAGCAGAACCTTGTACCTGAAACACCACAGTCACAGATAAAAGGATGGAGTTCAATTCATTAGATACATGTGTTTTTATTTGGTTTTATTAGTTTATTTTCAATACAGATAGTGACAGAAAAAATTGATCAACATTACTGTAAATGTGCCAGTATTAGCAACACAAGTAGTTTCTCTGATGGTTCATGTGTGGTGCTGTAAGGTTGTGTTGACGCTGTTGTGTTGGGTTGATGCTGTTGTGTTGGGTTGAGGCTGTTGTGTTGGGTTGATGCTGTTGTGTTGGGTTGATGCTGTTGTGTTGTGTTGATGCTGTTGTGTTGGGTTGATGCTGTTGTGTTGGGTTGACGCTGTTGTGTTGGGTTGACGCTGTTGTGTTGGGTTGACGCTGTTGTGTTGGGTTGACGCTGTTGTGTTGGGTTGACGCTGTTGTGTTGGGTTGATGCTGTTGTGTTGGGTTGACGCTGTTGTGTTGGGTTGACGCTGTTGTGTTGGGTTGACGCTGTTGTGTTGGGTTGATGCTGTTGTGTTGGGTTGATGCTGTTGTGTTGGGTTGACGCTGTTGTGTTGGGTTGACGCTGTTGTGTTGGGTTGATGCTGTTGTGTTGGGTTGATGCTGCTGTGTTGGGTTGATGCTGCTGTGTTGGGTTGATGCTGTTGTGTTGGGTTGATGCTGTTGTGTTGGGTTGATGCTGTTGTGTTGGGTTGATGCTGTTGTGTTGGGTTGATGCTGTTGTGTTGGGTTGATGCTGCTGTGTTGGGTTGACGCTGTTGTGTTGGGTTGATGCTGTTGTGTTGGGTTGATGCTGTTGTGTTGGGTTGACGCTGTTGTGTTGGGTTGATGCTGTTGTGTTGGGTTGATGCTGTTGTGTTGGGTTGATGCTGTTGTGTTGGGTTGATGCTGTTGTGTTGATGCCGTTGTATTATGTTGGTGCTGTTGTGTTGTTCTGATGCTGTTGTGTACTGTTGTGTACTGTTGTGTTGTGTACCCACCTGGCACAGAACTCGTGGAAAGGCCTCCTCACAGGAAACCCAGTGCGGCGGATCTTCACTGTCTCCAACATTCCCGAGTATCGCAGTTGGTTCAGCACCAGGCCCTGGTCAAACTGCTCCGGCATCTGTTCACCAGGAGAACATACCAGGAGAACACACCAGGAGAACATACCAGGTGTTAATGATGTGGTCCACTGGTCCTGTGTGCGTCTTTGTGTAATTGTATAATTGCAAATGATTATGAATGATATTAATCACCACCAAACAGATACAATAAAGTGATGAGGACAGTTCTAAATAAATCCTTATACATAATAACCCTTGTGGCTCTTCACAACATATTGTTTATATGAAAGCAAACACTCAATCAATGTTGTAGAAGAAATGAGTCGTGTAGCTCCACCTTAAATTCTCAAAGCGATTGTAATTTTTTCCCCTTCGAGCAAAATTGACAGAGTTACGCTCCGATAGGACTGATATGCAAGCCCTCCACGTTTCACCGATTCAGATAAGAAAATAAGTAAACCCCTGGGGGAGGGGCTAGGTGCAGCTAGTCAGAGGACTGAGGGGAGAGCAATGGTGGCCTGCGTAAATGAGAATAAAAACCACTCAAACATGCTTGAATAAAAAAAAGATAAGTTGATTTTTAGGTTTGGATCATTAAAGCTGCACTAACTGACTTTGGGATTTTGAAGCCGCGGACTCGCTGGCCTCGCTCTTTCTGCTCCCCTCCCCGCACCCACGAAGCTATCGCCCCCCACACACACCCACTGTTGGGACGAAGCTAGCGTCTCCCAATATGGATAATACATGGACATGGATTTGCACGTGGATGGCGTGACCATAGAACAATAGAACCGGGAAGCGCGGAGGAACGGGACTTTCTTTTGGATGGCTGTCTCGCTGTATAAGCAGTAACCGGTGACGAAGACACACGAAGCTTCAGGTTAGCTCCGCCGCTTGTTGTGCTAACGCAGCTGTCTGTGCTAACGGACCTGTAGATTTCTTACGAAAGTGGGGGCTAGTGGTCCGCTGTGATTGGTCACAATCTGCGACCCGAAACACATTCTCTTCCTTGTTTCATCAAAACTCGATCTAAAATATTATGTTACGCCAGTACCAATCTGCGCTACTTTTTCTTCAAAAGGACGTATATCCCAATGCACTGCATGGACATGGATAGCATTTTCGTAATGAATACAAAAATAAAGTCAGTTAGTGCAGCTTTAACTTATCTGATAGAAGATCAAACATACAGAATACGTTTCATACCAACAAACTTTAACAGTAATTCATTTCTACAGAATAAATAGATGACTTAAGATAACTTTTATCCGTCCCACAGTGGGGGAAATTTCAATGTTGTAGCGCTCATACAGGACAGTAGCAAGAGCACACTAAATATACAGAGATAAATAGCTGTAAATGGTTCTTAAATAGCAGTTTCTTAGTATTATAAACATCTAAAGCTACTGCAAATATCCCAGTCTTCCCATGCAAACAGGCGGTCTACAGCTACATTTATCTCGTCCTGCTTCGCCCTGTGACGTCCTCCGGTTCCTCTCCACGTCACTGGTCCATTTAACCCCTTTAAAGTACGTTCCGCAGATTCCAAAACACTACGACCATCCCGACGTCAGAGTTCCATCTCCGATCGCAGCATCTCTCCAGCCGGCACAGGCGTTATCGGCGAACACAGAGGGACTTTGAGGACAGCCTTGGCCGGTGCCCCTAACCCCGTAACCCCGGTGGGCGTCTGAATGAGAGCGGCTCCTAATGCCTCCTTTATCTCGTTTGTATCTGCTCTGAAGGACGTTCCAGCAGGAGAAGTGGTCAGAGCGGTCCTGAATGGAGGCCTTCTGCGGACACCGGCTCATTAGCATAGCTGGCATTAGCATACGCGCGCACAAAGGCCAGCCGTGTCACCGCTGCCCTGCGCCGCGGGCACTTCACTCCGACGTTTCCTTTTCGCGACCGTGTCAATAGCTCTTCTCCGATTGGTCCAAGGTTCTTTACAAGATTGGACAGGTTTGTTCATTGTTTTGTAGATTTTGTCAGGTTTTTTTTCAAGCTTTGGAGCTGTTGAGACTAAAGAGTGCCATACCAACCAATTCAACGGAAGAAAATGGATGGATGATTTTATGTACGTCGTAATGGCAAAATTATTATTTGAGTCTATTGCATCAGAAGAGCAAGTTCTCATGACCAGAACCATTACTCTCTCTTGGTTTGTCTGAATTATGTGTTACCAACAGGTGTCTGCCGTTGAATCTTCCTTGCCCCCCCCTTGATTCCACCTTCTTCCCTTCCTGCATGCTGTGGACCCCCCTTAAGCTTTAAGTAAGTAAGTAATCTTTATTTATATAGCGCCTTTCACAGACCAGAGTCACAAAGCACTTTACAATTGTTGTGGGCATTTGTCCCTCACTCCACACAGAGAGCAGGGTCACCAGTACAGGAGGCGCATGCCAGACCTATTGTACATGTTTTAGTGGTAGGGGAAACCCGAGCACTGGGAGGAAACCTAGGCAGGGAGAACATGCAAACTCCACTCTGGATTAGAAACCCAGGACCTTCTTGCTGAGAAGCGAGAGTGCTATTGACCCAGCCACAATGCCGCCCAATTCAAACTATACTGGATGGAAATCGCACAGTATAGGATTAACCAATCAGATGCCTTCATTCGCAGAAGACAAACTACATATTTCCATAGCAACCATCTTAGAGAAACTGTCAAAACACAGAACTGCTCTGAGTGTGATAGCGGTACAATGACATCATACTATTACAGGACTAAGAAAGGAGCTTTTAGACAGACGGGGGCGGGAGTGACATGTTTGTGCCAGAAGTTCCTGATAGTAGCATGGACGGATCGAAAAACAATGTAAATATGGATAAAAGCTTAGAATATCTATTTGTCATACTAAAATTTAGATTAGGAGACGCTTATTTTGGTCCCAGAGTGAGGAAACAAAATCGCTAACTTTAGCATAATAAAGAAGCAAGTATAAAAACCTCTTAATCCAATCATACGACTCTTAGTTTCAGCTTTGTACTCTTCTATCCTGCTTTTAGTTTGTTTAGTTTTGTGTCTCTGTCTGAATGTGTGTGTGTGTGTGTGTGTGTCCTGAATTGTGAAACGTCTTTGAGTTTTTGAAAAGCGCTCTATAAAACCCATGTATTATTATTATTGTTATTGTTATTAAATAAATTCTAGCCCAAGAAATATATAGTTGTGTGTAAAACATCTGTACATGTTAGCAGCATGAGGGTCTGGGACAAAGTAAAGTGACCGTGGACACATGTGGTTCTGTATTCTGCACATTCATAAATTAGGAAGAATTAAAAAATGATAATAATAATAATAATAATAATAATAATAATAAATGATTGATTTAAAGTAGCGCTGGACTGGTTTGCTCGTTCAGCTCCAGTCACGGTGACATTCTCACTGAGGCTCGACAATAGCCCTGGGGTCATGGTCTGTGTGTTTCTCAGGACCACTTCGTCCTATAGTCCCAGGCCCAGGCCATTCAGGAAACTAAAGGGGGCATGGCCTGTGTGTGAGGGGCGTGGCAGATGGGGAGATAATGCAAACACACACAAAAGTCAAATGGACACTTCACACAATACAGAGGAAACGAACGGTGCTGGAGATCCCACGAGGTCTGATGAGTGCCGCGACTTCAGGTTTATGAGCCAATGAAGACGCTCAAAAAATCTCCTCAGTCTAAAAATGCTACACTTTTGGCTTTTTGAGAAATATACCATGAAACGACAAATGTTTTGGAAAAAAATACATAAAACTGTTCCATGTTGCATTTCAGTTTAGTTCAGTTTATCCATTGATTTCAGAATTTCAGACATTCAAAAACAATCAGGCACTCAATCCGGGAGAAAATTTGTCAAAATAAGGTTAAAGGCAGAAAGCTTATAGACGCCTACAGCCTTTAGTATAAATTACACTTAAACAGCTGCAACACACAAATAAAAATAATACAACTACGCCATAATTAGGATTATTTTCTGCTTCACAATCACTTTATATCTATTACTATAAATGTATGTCTCTTCTGTAAATTGTTCTTCTGGAATGTATTCATTAATAACAATAAATAGTAATTGATCGATCTTATAGAGCGCTTTCTCTGGACGCTTCACATGTCATTATTCATTCACTCATAACTCTGTGCTGATAAACTTCTACTGTAGCCACAGCTGCCCTGGGGCACACCAACAGTAGTGAGGCAACCAGTATGTGCCATCTGACCACCACCAACTATTTTAACACACACAAGACTCATTCCAGGCATGAGGGTGAAGTGTCTTGCCTAAGGACACAACAACAGTTTGGCACTTTACAGTCACAGCTGCCCCACTGTGGCACCTGCTGTTCCCAGAGGTCTCCCATCACAATATTAACCAGGCCCTGTCCTGCTTAGCTTCAAAGGTCTGGCAGAATCTGGCTTTTGCATGCAGGTGGTGCCACAAAACATCATGTCCTAAAAGTACATGTTTGATGTAAAATTATTAGATACGTTTTGCTTTTAAAAACGTATCTAATTGTTTTTGAACTATACAATTGTTATTTTTTGTTATTTTTTCTGCCTGAGATGTTGCTACAGGACAATGTTCATGGTTATGCACTGGTCCAGACCAAAGCAGAGAGGATTCGTGATCAGAAACAAGTGGATCAGCTGAAAATCCACCGGAGGAATGCTAAAGTTTTGAAAAATGCTAACAAAGCATTTAGCATTTTACTTTGGACCAGAGCAGAGAAAATGGTCCGAACCAAGCGGCGGCTCCACCTCTGCTGCTGTTGCTCATAATTACTATTGTTAGCTATTCAGAATGATCAATATATTTGTACGGATGGATGTGTTTTGCTGCTACTGGACACTTGAATTTCTCCTACAGCGATCAATAAAGTATCTATCTACAGTATAAACAAATCCAGCTTTTTATGTTCATTACTGAAGCTTTTGACACTGAAGCTTTTGATACTCTTGCTTTTGATACTCTTGCTTTTGATACTCTTGCTTTTGATACTCTTGCTTTTGATACTCTTGCTTTTGATACACGATATGAACTGACACCAGTGAAGAACCTCAAATTACAGCTAAAACGTTGCGTCCACTTCTGTTTTCGAGTCTGACACTGGAGTACGAATGGTTGATTTTTCCTTAATGCATAGAATCCGCAGCCTTTATACAGTAGCTAGTATTCAATGTCTTCTTTAATCAACATGACAAATTATCATACCAAATAGGGGGACTTAAATTAGATTTTTTTGTGTGTCCGTCATGGCTGGATTTACAAGAAAAAATGATTAAGACTTATTTGCCTGGTATATGTAGCTGCCCATAATCTAATTTCATGTTTACGCTCCCTCTAATGCACTATAATACTCATGATTGATGCTTCTAATTCCTCATTTTGAACCATGTTAAACCAGCGTGATGTATGTCTGGGCCTGGTTGTCCCACATTTACTCTCTCTACATTATTAGTCACCATCTGCCCGGCTGTCCTCCCCATCACCACAGTCAAATCCTCTCCACGAAAACACCACTGCAGAAAAAAACGCAAATAATAAAAGCAATTTGTCTGTGAATGTAATTATGTTGTCACGGTGTGTCGGTAGATTGAGATTGACGGGGAATAAGTGGTGATTAAACAGTTTAAATTAGGATTGATTAAAGTGTGAAATGGGTAATTTGTAAAAAGCAAATGAACGGATTAAAATCGTGTCGAGCTCATTTGCGAAGAAAATTATTGCTTGTGCTAAAAGTTAAGTCAATACAACCGTACATTGGATAAGTATTTGTAATCAATTTTGCCAGAACGGTTCTTTGGTCTGAGTTCTAGATCTAAAACTAGTCTGTCCCGGAGGTTTCTCACTTTTTCCAACAGGGTTTTTTAGTTTTTTTTTTGTTCTTTGCCGATTGAGAAGGGTCTAAGGACAGTGGTGATAATGTACGGATATTTATGGACATTTATGGACATCCTATGTGTTTTTTATTACTGCATTTTCTGCGTTTGAACGGTTTGATTCTCTGATTTGTGGGCTATAGGGCAACACAAAAATACATTGAAATGAAGCGAAAGCTGAAGTTCAGACTGAAAAACAGGAAGAACTAAGCTCACATCGCTCAAACCGCTTCATATCGGTAAGAAAGTATCATCCATTCATTCACGCCACTCGCCACAACCCTCCTCCTCCCCATCTCCTCCTCCTTCTGGTCTAGCTCTTTCATCCTTCTCCAAGTTCCCACCATCAGGGTCAATCAGAGTTCCTCTCATAATCTTATTCCCCTGCAGTCTTGAAAATGTTGCCCAAACAATATTTATAAATTAAAGAAAGACGGATTTTGGTGGTAGTCTTTTTGCTAAAATAAACTGCTGTTTTGAGGAGATATAACTGGTGAAGCAACACTGACATTTCCCCCACTGTGGGACGAATAAAGGATCTCTTCATCTCTATGAAATCTAATATACTTTATTAAAACTCTAGTTACTATTTTACAACAGCTCTGGCCTGGAATAAATGGTAAAAACCCGAGCGCCTCCCGGTGGTTCATCAGATGCTCTCTCGTCTACAGGGATACATGCATAATATATATATGAGGAAAAAGTAAAAAAATTCATACCTTTACCTTCAATATTAAATTCAATTCTACTTTATTACAGACTCTAGGTGCAACGTAAAAACATACAGACAGAAAAGACAGTTATGAATAATGTTTGAATTGTCTGTTTTACTTTGTATTACCATGGCGGAGGACAAATATTCTAAGTTTAAAATAATACCTAATGTCATGATAAGAAAATGTATACAGCAGAAGAGAGACTAAATACTCAAATCCAAAGTAATAACATTAAGG